TGTGAAATTCCCCTGTGACTGGGGTGCAATGCACGGTCCCCACCCAGTGGACATTTGGGTAAAATGGAGGAGCTGTGAGTAGAAATGCAAGCCATGAGCCTCTCTGCGTTGATTTTCATGTGTGTTTTTTTTTTCAGTGGGGAAAGCATCTGCTCTGTGCTTCTTTCCCAGATTTGCTGCATATTCACGGCCTTGCCTTGCAATGCTGCCAGGCACCGCTGTTCCAACTGGTTTCCACTGGAGCAACCTGATTTGGAATAGGCTGCCCAGGAAAGTGGTTGAGTCAACATCCCTGGAGGTCTTTAAAAGATGTTTAGATGTAGAGCTTAGGGATATGGTTTAGAGGAGGACTTGTTCGTGTTAGGTCAGAGTTTGGACTCGGTGATCTTGGAGGTCTCTTCCAACCTAGATGATCCTGTGATTCTGTTTTCTGGTCCCTGCAGCCAGCTCTGTGACAAGAGATGCATTTCTCAATTCCCTGTTGCATATATATGTGTGTATATATATATTGCAGATATATTTTTTTTTTTTTCCCCAGCTAAATTTCCTGGGATCCAAGTGCCAGTGGGGGAGACCAGGATTTGGGACCAAAAATCTGAGTCGAGCTGCTGGAGTGATGCACCGTGTCCATAGAGATATAGGTTCCCCCAAACCCACTCCATGCAGCTCAGAAGGAGCAGGATGAGGCCAGTGGTGTTGTCTGTCTTGGTGTGGATGCTCTGTTTGACCAGACACATGTAAGTATACACACACATATATGTGCCTACTGACTGCATTTTAAACCTTGCTACCAGTTGGACCTGGGGACACAGGGTCCAATCTGTGCTGATGTGTTTTCCTCTAACAACCCCCTTCCTTCCCATCTCCTCCAGTAAATTCAGTAAATTCCCATCTCTTCCAGTAAATGTCCTGAAATTCAGAGACAAAGAGGGGAGGAATCTGGGGGGGTGAGGGGCGGGGAAGCTGCTCAAAAGAGCCCCGGAGAGGCACAGCCTGGATTTTGGCTCAGCACAAGGAACCGGGACAGGGCAGCCGGGTGCGAGCATCCTTTCAACCCCCAACCCCAAATAATTATTGACAAAACCATAAAATACTGACACCCTTCTCTTTCAGAGATGCTCCAGTGATGCTGGGAGGAAGAACTCTCTTGGGCTCTGCTGTCGCCTTTGTTTCAGGCACAGAGAGATTCTGGGCTGCCAAGCAAAGCTGCAGATGCTAATCCTGCCCTTCCAGCAAAGGGAAAAATGCACTGTGCACCGCTCCTGCAGGATTTGGTCCAAGAGCTGCCCTTAGGATAGCTCAGGGCGAGGGGACAGCGGGGCTTAAGGGTGGTTGCAGCCCAGCTGCCTGCGCAGAAGCACAGGAAGGGACAAAGTGAGAAGCTGGGAAGAGAAATGTGCAGCTCTGGGCTCAAACCAGGACAAGCCCTGAGCTGGAGCTTGCAGGTACCGCAGCTGCACTGGCCTCTCCTCCTATATATTTTTTTCCCATCTCTTGTCCCTTTTCTGTGATGCTCCAGGAGGAACTGGGGGAAGGACATATGTCACCAGATGGAGGGGCTGGCGGAGAAGCCGCCTGAATACTGCTGGGTGGGAATATCACGCATATCCTCACTACGCAAGCCCAAAGCTCCAAAACGTGATGTCAGGGGTAGAAGCAGGCCCACAAATAACCCAATTTGGTCCAGGTTCAGCCAGACCCCCACTCCCCTGCACCCCAGGCTGTCTCCAGCACCCAGCATCTATCCTTCTCACCCAAATGCTCCTCGTTTACCACTCGCACCCATGGGCACAGGGTACCCACTGTATTGGGGGGCATTGTCCCTACTGTCACCAAATGTGAGGGTCCAGCCACATTGATTCAAGACTTTAAGCCCAGCGCAGCATGAGACACCTCCCCTTGGGGACTCCCTGGTGTGTCATCCCCTGCTGCTCAAAGCCTTGGAGATTTCTCCCCATCACAGGTGGCTGCTTTTGGGGATGGGGGACGGGTTCATCCCCACCCCATTTGGGGGAACAGCAACCATGACTCCATCAGGCAGACCCTGGTTTCAATGGGACATGGGCAACTTTTATGGGGTTTTATAATCCCAGACCAGTGCAGGAGAGGTAAGTGACTCTGGACTTACTGGGTGGCAAAACCAGGGTGACCCTAATGTTCAGAGACCCCCAAAACCCTGCAGGAATGCACATAGCTCTGAAAGCCTCCAAAAGGACCAAATCTCCTTGATTTTTCTTGGCTTTTTTTTTTTTCCTTACCCTCTTCCCCCCTCCCCTTCCCTCCACCCAGGGAAAGGTCTGGGTTATTCACGTACCTGCTGTTTCACAAAATCCTCCCCCCCGCTTCCCCCTCCCATGCTCGCCTTCCCCTGCCAGAACTCCTCACCAGCTTCTCCTCCTTCTCTTGGGGACAATCCCAATGGAGCAGGGGGATTTGGAAGACTCATCCCAACAGGATAAGCCCAAGGAGAGGCGTCAGCATGGCATGGTGCTGAGGAGGACCGAGGTGGCCATTTGCCCGAGTGCCAAGCTAGGAGAAGACCAGGAGGAGGAACCCAGACCACAAAGACAGAGGCAAAACCATGCCGGGCAGGTGCAGGATAACCCCAGTGAAATCCATCCCCAGAAAACTGGGATCAAGGCTGGGATGTGCCCCAAGGAAAAAGTGTACGGGTGCAGCAAGTGTGGGAAATCCTTCAATTGGAAGAACAAACTGAGCCGGCAGCTGAGGACGCACACTGGGGAGTGTCCCTACAAGTGCTCCGAGTACTGGAGTAGCTTCAGTGACCATTCGAACCTCATCTCCCACCAGAAGCTCCACCGGGGGGAAAACCCTATGAGTGCTTGGACTGTGGGAAGCGCTTCAGCCAGAGCACCAGCCTCCTGGCCCACCACCGGATCCACACAGGGGAAAAACCCTATGTCTGCTTCAGCTGTGGGAAACGCTTTGCCCGGAGGCAAAACCTCACCATGCACCAGAGCATCCACACTGGGGAGAGACCCTACTCCTGCCAGGATTGCGGGAAAAGTTTCCGGAGGAGCTCCGACCTCATCCGACCTTCATACGGGTGAACGGCCCTAAAAATGCCCGGACTGTGGGAAGGGTTTCACATGGAGCTCCAAGCTGATGGACCACCAGTGGACCCACACAGGGGAAGCCCCCTCCAGGTGCTTGGTGTGCAGCAAGCACTACAAGGCCAACATCTCCTTGAGGTCCCACGTGAAGCTGCACACATGAGATGGGCTCGCTGAGGGGCTGGTAGGGCCATGTCCTATGGGGAGATGGAGAGGAGGAAGGAGCTGTGGCCAAGGAGGGTCTGATGGGTGGATGGTGGCAAACATAGAACCTAGAAGTAGATGGGCTCACTGCTGAGATCATTCCTGAGTACTGGTTCTTTCCTTTTTGCACATTAGCATTAAAATGTTTTGGACTTTCCACTGTCTGTGTGTCAAGTGCTGGTTGAAACAAAACTCACCTTAGCTGGTTTCGGAGGTCCTGATTTCCCAAAACCTCTCAAACGCCCCCATTTCTGACTGAAATACACTCGGGCTTTTCTACTGCCACAACATCTTCCATTTTCCTGTTGAAACTTCAAATCTGCACCCAAAACCCTCTTACAAATCATACCCCTCCCCTTCCAGTCAGGGCTGCCTACATCAGAAAAATCCCCTCTGCAGTTCCCTCTCCCTCCAGGAATCAAAACCTCTCCTGAGGAGCTTCAGGTTCTTCCCACCTCCCATTTTTCCACCTTCCTTGTTCCTTTTCCCAATTAGTTTGGTGGAGGATCCAGTGCATGGCCATGGACCCTATTCATGGGCTGCCTTCCTAGCTTGTCTCCTGCTCATGGACCTCCCAATGCTTAGGGCTGATCCTGCCCTGCTCCCCTTGCTTTACTTAGGAGTAACTGCCCAAGTTGAAGGAAAAGCATCACCCAAAGCTCTCGTTCTAGTGAAAAAAAAAAAAAAGTTTTTTCTGGTGGGAAAAGTTTCAGGGGAAGGCCAGATCCTGCTGCACACCAGGAAATCTTCAGAGGCAATGAATCCCTAGGCTTCCAAATGCAGGAAGGGCTTTGGTGCTGGTGTGCACGTTAGGAATGACCCCAGTGCCTCCATGCTGCTATCAAAACCTTTTAATTAGCCATGGGAAACGGCTTGGAGTAGCCATTTGTCTGCCACAAGGATGTGAGGGCTAACGGAGCATGCTGATGACCTGCCAGCTCTCTGAGACCTTAATATCGGGAGTCCTGATGGGGAAATCAAGCATGGGGAAATTAATGGGGCTGTGAACCAGGTGCATTTCTGCACATATGGAGATGGCAGCCACACAGTTTTGCTGTTTTCCATGCTTTTTGCACACTGCCCAGGCACTAAATTTTAGCAAATCCAGCCCTGCCTCATCAATCCTTGCTTTTTCCCGATGCATCTCACACCGAGACCTCACAGCAGAAGACTTGGCCTCAAACCAAGCACGTGGGATTCACAAAGCACAGCTCCATTTGAGCCAAAAAAAAAAAAAAGAAACTCTCCCACAGATCAGTCAGCTGTGCTGAGCTCAGCTCCGTGTCGTCCCCATCATCTGAATATCCATCAGCCCAAAAACACCTATCCATCTGGATTTCTCCCAAAAGAAATTGAGGTGAGAAGGTGCGAGTGTGCATAGCCAAGGGTGTTGGGCTCGCCCTTCATCTCACCCCCGTGTGCTCCCCCATCAAGTTGCTTCCCATGGAGCTGTTCTGCACTGCCACATCTGCTGCCAACAACTCAGCCGTGGGCGGTGGGATGTCTCCTGACTCTTCTTAAGCAGTGGCAGATGGCTTAGCAAATGGTTGAAATACTGCTTTTTTTCTCGATTGCTCAATAGCTTTCACTTGCTTTGAGCAAAGCCAAGGCTGGTGGTGTCATCTGGGAATCACCTGCTAAGCACAAACACCCACGTCTAACTCTAGAGATGCTCTGTCGCAAAAATAAAATAATAATAATAAATAAAAGCCCAAGAGGAGATTTAATGGGACTAAAAAACAATTTTATTCTTTTTAGAGATGAGTTTCAGTTGCTCCTGAACACCCTAGCAGTCAGCAAATTGACTTTTGATGAGTAATTCCTTAAGAAAAAGAGGTGGAAAATCATGAGGTGTGCACACAGCAAACTCTTTTAGGAGAAATCAGAATTTCTACTCAGGCTTTGTCCTAAAGATACCAATCAGAGAATGGGGTTTATACGCATAGACCAAAAATAAGGGCTTTTCCACCCACTTTGCCTCGCTCTGACTAAACCCAGCTTGAAATAAATCGCCATGAATATTCAACGCACTGTGGGAGCACTGGGTACTCAGCGCAGAAGTGCAGAAACCCAGGGCAGAGCAGTGCAGGGATTTGGTGTTCAAACCTGTGCAATGGAACAAAATTGTTTGAACCTGCCATGGAACCAATGTGAAAGGTAAAAAAAAAAAAAAAAAAAAAAAAAAAGGAAAGAACACTTCTTAAATAGGAGGGAAAAAAAATCTTTAAAAGCTTTAATTCTTAGTAAGTTAAAAATGTGCTTTTCCACATCTTACCTGTTGACCCCTTCCCTAGCCAATGTTTTATGGAATTCAGCTGTTCTTTATAAATATAGGAAGAAGAAAAGCAGATGAAACTCTGCTGAAACTCAGACAACATCCCACAGATGTTACCTGAGGAAGAGCGGGTTCCTTTCCTTATGAGGTGCTAGAGGTTTAGGGTTGGACTTTTAGATCTCACCAGCTCCAGATGGGCTGACCCCATTCTTGCACAACGCTTTCTCCTCCACATGCAGTTTCTGGTGGGACACCTTGGCCTTGTAGCTCTTCCGGCACACTGAGCACTTGCAGGGAGCTTCTTCCATATGGCTCCTCTGGTGGGTGATGCACTTGGATGATGCACATTTTCAGGACATTTATAGAGTCTCTCCCCGCTGAGGGTCCTCTGGTGTCACACAAGGTCGGAGCTACTACAGAAGCTCTTCCTGCAGTCAAGGCAGCTGTAGGGTCTCTCCCTGGTGTCGAGTCACCAGCGAATAAAAAGGTTGGTGCTGTGGGTGAAGCTCTGTCCAAGCAAATATTTGGCTTCCCACACAAACGATGATTTAATTAAAGGGAAAAAAATAATAATTTTTTTTAACTAAAGGGAAAAAAAAAAGGAAAAAAGGAAAGGGGAAAAGGGAGGGGGAAAGGGGGAAAAAACAAACAAACAAAACAAATAAAGGCTATGTGGAAGTGCAGAGGAAAGAAATTACTCTCTACTTCCCACAAATGAGCAATGCTTGACCACGTCAAGGCAGGGCCTCAACACAAGTAGCCGGTGTTCAGGAGGAGGACCGACGTTTTCACAATGAGAGCCCTCCCCCCCAACACCCCCTCTTCCTTTTTCCACCTTTTATTGCTGAGTGTGACATCACATGGTATGGAATATCCCTTTGGTTGGTTTAGGTCAGTTGGCCTGGTGATGTTTCTTTTCTCACTTTTTTTGCCCAACCCCTAGGAGGGTAAGAGGGAGTCCTGATGCTGTGCCAGCACTGCTCAGCAGCAGACACAACCCTGGTGTGATACCACTGCTGTTCTAGCTCCAAGTGCAGAGCACAGCACTGCAGGGAAAGTTAACATCCCAGCTAGACCCCATTTGCTTCTGCCTGCTGGGAGTCAACTGGCCGGGGCTTCTCCTCTTGGTGGCCACCAGCACCTGCTGGTGGAGAACAGGGACAAGATGGGAGCTGACCCACAGAAAATCAAGGGTCTCCACATCCCATTGACCTTCTCATCCCATTGGCCTTCCTACCCTGTGCACTTTCTGATCCTATCGACCTTCCCCATCCCACTGACCTTCCCCACCCCATTGACCTACTCCCACATTGAACTTCCCCCTCTATTGACCTTCCCATCCCATTGACCTTCCCATCCCCCTGATGTTCATCCCATTGACCTCCTTATCCCATGCACCTTTCAACTCCATGCACCTTCCTATCCCATTGATTTCACGCCTGTATTGATATACCTATCCCATGTACCTTCCCATCCCATTGATCTTCCTACCCCTTTGACCTTCCAACCCCATGAGCAGCTTTCACCCAATTCAACCCACAAAGGTTTGTCAAGGACAGACCTTGAGGGATCCTCAAGGGATGGGGAGTGGAGCAAATCTCCAGATGCCTCATGGGTACGTGCAGGACCTTAGGATAACAGCGTGGGAACAATTTTCTGTGCATGGCTCCATTCTCCCTCTTCCCAAAATTCATGACCAGGATGCAGGAAAGGCTTATCCAGGGAAGGGAGAAATTTGGAGGAGAAAACACCTATTTTGAGTAAAGGGTAGTTACCTGGTGAGGCTGTGTTCTCAAAGTTGTTCTGCTGCGTGTCCTGCAATAGAAATTTCAGCTTCTCAGCCTCTTTCCCTCTACAGACTCACTGATGCACGATGCAACAGGAGCTCATGCTGAAACCCTTCCTGCACTCAGGGCATTTGTAGGGCCATTGACCCATGTGCAAGTGCTGGTTTCAGGTCCAGTGTCTCCTGCAGTTGAATGAGGGCCCACAGTGAGCATATACATAAACCTTTTTCTGGGAGAAAACTAGTGGCTGGGGCTCAGTTTCCCTAATGCTGCCTGGGCTTCCCCCTTGGTGGGTCCTGTCTCCCAGGCCCTTCCCCTTTTCCCTGTTATGGTTCTCCAAGGCTCCACCATGCCCCAGCTCCTCTCCATCACCCCATATCACCCCTCCAAGCCTTGTCCCACCTTCTCCTGGACCTTCTCAGGATTTCTCTTTTTCCTTCTTGCTCATTCTCCCCATACCTGCAAGAACCCCACAACCACGATATGCATGCAACCCTGCTAAAACCCCAAGGGAAGGTTTGGCCATGCAGCCCCATGCATCCAAGGGGCAGGACAAAGTGGGTGACGGAGGAGCTGCAACCTCCAACAAAACCCTTACAGGGCGAAAAGATGGGAAGAGGCTCAAAGACCTTGCTGGATCACCCACATACACACAAATTTATTGCTTAGGCCGTTATCTTTTCTCCCAGCATCTCCCAGCCAAAATTAGACAGGGTGCTTCTGGAAAGTCGCACTTCAAGGGGGATTTGGCTCAGTTTCTTAGGAAAACAGGTAAGAAATCAGTGTGGGTTTGCATGAAGTTGCCCACCCCAAGCCCTGGGCTGCTTCCCCAAGCAATTCCTCAACTCCAGAGGCTGCATCTCCTCCCCTCTACACCCCAAAAAAGGGTCAGAGCAGTCCAGCTCCATCCCCATGCAGAGCCCATGCTGCCCACACTTCACATGGAAACTGTTCTGGTTTCAGTTAGGACAGTTAATTTTCCTCCTAGCAGCTGGTAGGGTGCTATGTTTTGGATTAGGATGAGAAGAGTGCTGATAACATGCTGGTGTTTTAATTTTAAGAGCAGTGCTTACACAAAGTCAAGGATGTTTCAGCTTTTCACTCTGTCCTGCCAACGGGCAGGCTGGGGGTGCAGTAAGAGCTGGTAGGGGACAGATCCAGCACAGCTGACCCAAACTGGCCAACGGGGCATTCTATACCATCTGACATCAAACAATATATAGGGGTGGCTAGCCAAGGTGGGGGGCTGGGTTGCTCGGGGTTAGACTGAGCATCTGTCAGCGGGTGGTGAGCAATTGCATTGTGCATCATTTGTTTCGTACACATTATTAATAGTAGCACTATTCTCATCATTATTGTTATTATTATTGTTGTTATTATTATTTTCCTGTCTTATTAAACTGTCTTTATCCCAGCTCATGGGCTTCACTTTCCCATTTCTCTCCCCCATCCCAGAGAGGGAGAGGGGAGGGTGAGCAAATGGCTGTGTGGTGTTTAGCTGCCGGCCGGGTCAAACCATAACAGAAACCCATCAGGATTTTATTAAGTGAAAAAAAAAATCTAAACATAAAACAATAGTGAAAAGAAGAACATTCGACCCTTTGCTTGATGCCAAGAGGGTACAGAAACAGCATTCCCCTCCCTCCATGGAGCAAGAAAATCCCCCACACTGCCTGGGATTTCAACAACCCCTCCATCACTGAATGCTTGAGTGCTGCTCATGAGCATTAAGCCCAGACTGAAAATAAGGGGGGGAGGAGAATCTGACTTACGATCTTTTTTTTTTTTGGCCCAGAAATGCCCAACAAGGGCGGCTTGATCAGACAATGAATGTGATACTTCTGCTGCAGCTGTCTCACCAGGCGTCCCTGCCTCCTCTGTTTCACGTGGGAGGACTGGCGTGACTGCCAGCATCCCTGGGGAATAGCATCACTGTTGCCAGGAGGACAGCTTTGATAAAGATTTCCAGCGTGCTGATCACCCTGCAGGTCTCCCAGCCCTGCAAAGGCTTCGGGAGCCACAGAGACCTGATGCAAACAAGAGGCGACGCAGCAGGGAGGATGCTGTCCGAGGGGGACTCCCTGAGCTTTGCCTTCGGTCCCATTTCTCTTCTTCTGGGAATCTTGGGGAAGAAGAACCCTGTCCCAAATGGTGCTGGAGCGTCACCCAAAGCTTGTCCTTATAGCAAATTATCCTTGCAGGGCACAATCTGCTCCTCTTGCATCTTAATGCATGTGCATCCTCATGTGGCACATCAGGGAAATCTTGGTCCTGTAGCAATTCCCACACTTGGAGCACCTGTAGGGAGTTTCTCCTGTGTGGGTCCTCTCGTGCTTCAGGCATTTAGTGCTCATGGTAAAGCCCTTCCCGCACTCATGGCACCTGTAGGGTCTCTCCCCGGTGTGGATCCGGTAGTGAACAACCAGGTGTGAGGTGTTGCTGAAGCTCAGCCCGCACTCAGGGCATTTGTGGGGTCTCTCCCCAGTGTGGAGCTTCTTGTGCTGTTTGAGGTTGGAGCTGCGACTGAAGCACTTCCCGCAGTCAGAGCAGAGATAGAATTTCTCGGATTTGTGAACCGATCTCTGCTGTCGGAGCTTGGTGCTATCACCGAGTTTTATCCCACTGTCGGGACACTTGCAGCACTTCTCCAGCTGGTGGGAAGCGAGGTCGGAGCTGTCATCAAAGCTGTTCCCACACTCGGAACACTTGTGGGGCTGCTCCACCATGTGCAGCTGCTGGTGTTGGCTCAGGCTGTTGCTACAGTGAAAGGTTTTCCTGCAGTTGGCACACTCGTGCGTCTGCCCTTCAACACAGATACCTGGATGCACACCCGATTCTTTGGGATCCTCCAAAGTGCCTTCAGGATCATCCAGATCCTCCTGCCCTTGCACAGGGCATGGCTCCACTTCTGACTGCTCTTTTAGAGCCTCATCCTGCTCAGGATCCTGGCACGCAGCCCCTTCCTCCATCCTCATGCTGGGGCCATTTGCTTCTGTCTGCTGGGAGTCAACTGGCTGGGGCTTCTCCTCTTTGTGGCCACCAGCACCTGCTGGTGGAGAACAAGGACAAGATGGGAATTGGCCCACAGAAAATCAAGGGTCTCCACATCCCACCGACCTTCCCATCCCACTGACCTCCCCACCTCATTGACCTTCCCATCCCATTGACCTTCCCACCTCATTGACCTTCCCATCCCATTGACCTTCCCACCTCATTGACCTTCCCATCCCACTGACCTTCCCACCTCATTGACCTTCCCATCCCATTGACCTTCCCACCCCATTGACCTTCCCACCCCACTGACCTTCCCACCCCACTGACCTTCCCATCCCATTGACCTTCCCACCCCATTGACCTTCCCATCCCACCGACCTTCCCATCCCACTGACCTTCCCACCTCATTGACCTTCCCACCCCATTGACTTTCCCATCCCATTGACCTTCCCATCACATTCACCTTCCCACCCCATGCACCTACTCATGCCATTGATCCTTCATCTCATTGAGATTCCCACCCCATTCACCTTCCCACCCCATGCACAGCCCCAACTCAACCCACGGAGGTTCTCAAGGATAGACCCACCATGGAGAATGGAGCTTTGCTCATGGGTATGTGCGGGACCTTAGGATAACAGCATGGGAACCATTTTCTGTGCATGGCTCCATTCTCCCTCTTCCCACAATTCATGACCAGGATGCAGGAAAGGCTTATCCACGAAAGGGAGAAATTTGGAGGAGAAAACACCTATTTTGAGTAAAGGGTAGTTACCTGGTGAGGCAGTGTTCTCAGAGCTGTTCTGCTGGGTGTCCTGCGATGGAGAATCCTGCTGGTCAACCTTCTCCACAAGATGGACCTTTTTATGAGCATTACAGCGGAAGTTCTGGGTGAAACCCTTCCCGCACACGGGGCACTTGTAGGGTTTCTCACCCGTGTGCACCGTCTTGTGGCGGACGAGGTCGGAGCTCTTGCGGAAGCTCTTCCCGCAGTCCCGGCACTCATAGGGCCTCTCGCCCGTGTGGACGCGGCGGTGCATGATGAGGTACTGGTGGCGGGCGAAGCGCTTCCCGCAGTCGGGGCACACGTAGGGCTTCTCTTCGGTGTGCACAGACTGGTGGGCGATGAGGTGGGAACTCTGGATGAATTTCTTCCCGCAGCTCAGGCACTTGTAGGGCTTCTCTCCGCGGTGGAGCATCTCGTGGATGAGCAGAGGGGAGCTGTCGTTGAAGCCCTTCCCACACTCAGAGCACTTGTAGGGCCGCTCGCCTGTGTGCAGGCGCTGGTGACGGACCAAGTTATGCCTCCAGTTGAATGTCGTCCCGCACTCATTGCATTTATACGCTCCCTTCTTGCGTTTGGCTTTCACCTGCGGCTTTCTTTTGCCACCCGTGCTTTCCTGCTCACCTTCTTGCAACCCCTGCCTGGTTTCGTGTCCTTCACAGCTTTCTGAGCCTTCTCCGTGCCCCAGCTCCTTGTCCTCCTCATCCTCCTCATCGTCTTCTATCACCACTATGTCTTCCCCCACCTGCACGTGCACCGTGTGCCTCGCCTTCCCCTTTTCATTCTTGCTCATCCTCTTCATCCCTGCAGCAACAGAGAGAAGACCTTGATGCAGCCGTGCCCGCTCCCACGGCACTCATCCTTCTAGGCACCTGCCAAATCCCTCCCCAAGCCTGCCATGCCACAGCTTCCCCCACCCCATCCCCTCTGTCCTCACCCATCCACTCCCTTAATTTTTTTTATTTAATTTTTTTTTTGGGGGGGGGGGTGCTCAACCCACCTGCAAGGTGTGTTTCGCTCCGCGTGTCGGGGAGGAGGGATGCGTGAAACCAACCCGCTCCCAAGGGGATGGGGGGTCGGGGGGTCCTGGAGGACCCCAACCCTATTCCGCCACCCCTCTGCTTCACACCCCCAGACCTTCCCCCCAGCTTTCCACCCTCCCCCGCTGCAGCCTCCGCTCGCCCTTGTCCCAGCCCCTTCCTGTGTCTCTGCACACCCAACCGGGCTGCAACCGGCCCCGAGCAGTGCTGCAGAGGGGGCTGCGGTCATGAGGGGGCTGCGGGGGGGGCGGGCATCCTCCCTGCTTTGCTTTATCCCATGATCAAAGCCAGGCGGGAGAGCAGCTCGGGGGGCGGGGAGGGGGATCCTTCAGGGTGCAGCCCCCGTCGGGGCTTCCTGAAAATTTGGGTCAAAAAATGGGTTTAAGGGAGAGCTTGCATCCCGCGCAGGGTTTGCATTGGTGTCTGCAAATTGAATTTGCCGTTCGGGCTGGATTTCGTGACATTTTGCTTTTAAAAGAGGCTCACAAGGGATGTCAGGGGAAGTGGGAGGGGGTGATACCAAATTCCATGAAACCAAAAGCAAAATAACAGGAGGACTCAACTGGAAAAGACAAAATGTGGTTGGCTTTGTGGAAATTAAACCTGGAGTTCAGTTTATCGGGATGAAACAGGAGAAGAAATCCTCCTGAGTTTGCAGGTGAGGAAATGCTGGTACCGACAGAGGTTTGCTCTCATGGAGATGTTCTTTAGGAGAGCCAGAGCATGGGGTAAAGCTGGTTTCGAGCTGGGAATTATTTTGTCATCGTGGTTTCTGAGGCTGGTTGACTTGTTCTTGGATGTTTTACCCAGAAATGGGCTTGGGTTGCACACCAGCATGGGGTGCATGGGTTGGATAAAGCAATTCCCTGACCCCACAGGCTGCATCTCCTCCCCTCTGCTTCCCTGGAAGGGCCAGAGTGGGTAATTTGCAAGGAAACTCATCAGAATTTTATTATATGTAAGAATATGTAAGGCAGTCGAGGCAAAAATAAGAGAAAGAGGAAAGAACAAAGGGGAAAAAGACAAAGAAATAATGTTCCCCTCTTTGCTCGCTACAGAGGGTACAAAACCTGGCTTCTGCCAGGGAGCAAGAAGATGCTTGAGATCTTGCAAATCCCCCAAATGCTTGAGATTTCACAAATTAACAGTGCCCACAAGGTTTAACCTCAGCCTGAAGCCAAGATGAGCATCACTGAAATCAGCTTTTCTGGCCCCAAAATGCCTGACGTCACTAAGATGGGACTTGTGTTGGCTCCTCATTCTCATCCTCGTCCTCATCCTCGTCCTCGTCCTCTGCCATTTCTTGTTCCACCTAGTCTTTGAGATTTCCCTTTCCCTTCTTGCTCATCCTCCCCATAGCTGTGGGGATGAGAACCCTGCCTGCAGCAGTGCCTGCTAAAACAGTGCCAAAAGGTTGGATTTGATGATCTTAGAGGTTTTTTTCTGACCTAAAATTCTGTGATCTTGTGGAAATCCCACAGGAGGGCTTGGCCATCCAGCTCCACGTGGAGTTGTGGGGTGGAGGGGCTGCCCCACACCTGGACCCGAAGCCCTGCTCCACCACCTGGTGTTAACTCGTGCATGGGCTCTCCCCTCCTCCCCCCCAAAAAAAAACAAAAAACAAAAAACAAACAAACAAACAAACAAAAAACACTCCTGGGGCTCGGCCTGACATTTGCTGCTTGATTTGGGGCATCAGCATCCACTGAAAAAAAGGGAGAAAGGGGGGAAAAAGGAGGAAAATGGGAGGGGGGGAGAGAAATAGAGGGAAAGGGAGAAGGGAGGAAAGGAGGAAAATGGAGGGAGAAAGGAGGGGAATGGTGAATAGGATGGGAAAAGGGAAGGAAAAGGAGGAAAAGGAGGGAAAGGGAAGGGAAAGGGAAGGGAAAGGGAAGGAAAGAGGGGTGAAAAGGGGGAGAAGAGGAAAAAGGAAAGGAAAGGGGGAACAAGGAGGGGAAAAGGAGGAAAATGGGGGGAAAGTGGTAAAAAAAGAGGGGAAAGGGAAAAGGGTAAATGGGGAAAAAGAGGGGAAAGGGGAGAAAGAGGGGAAAAGGTAAAAGAAGGGGAAAGCAGGAGAAAGGGGAAAAAGGTAGGGAAAAGAGTAAAAAAATAGAGAGGGAAAGGGGGGAAAGAGGGAAAAGAGAGAAAAGAAGGAAAGGGAAGGTGGAAAATGGAAGGAAAAGGAGGGAAAAGGGGAGGAACATTGAAAACATATGGTAAAATGTTTAGAAAATAGGAAAACGGGTTAAACTTGTTGTGTGAAAGGGGGGGCAAAGAAAGAAGGGACAAGTGTGGGGAGGAAAAGAAAAAAGGGGCCAAAGGGAGGGCGAAAAAGGGGATGAAGGGTGCAAAATGGTTTTGGGGTAGAGCGGGGCAGCCCCTCTGCTTGCCCCCAGGGATGGGGGCTTCCCCCCAGTCTCCGCCACCCCCTCACCGGTCCCCGTCGTCCGCCGCCGCTCGCCCTTGTCCCAGCCCCTTCCTGTGCCCCGCAGCAGCACCGGGCTGCAACCGGCCCCGAGCAGCGCTGCGGGGCACGGGGGGGGGGGGGGGGGGGAGGCTACGGGGGGGGCCCCAGGCATCCCCCCCGCTTTGCTTATCCCATGCACAAAGATCCCTGGGGAGCATCCCTTGGGTGAGCATCCCATCCCAACAGCGCTTTCCTCCGCTTTTGGGTTAAGAAAGGGGGAAAAACCGACCTCCGCGGTTTTTTTTTTTGTTTTTTTTTTTTTGGTGGGGGGGGGGAGGGATCTTTGAAACGGAGGGATGCTCCAGATTTCTCGCATGGAGCTGAACGTGGAATAAACAGAACTGCCATAATCAAACAGCTTGGGAGACGTGTTTGGGATTTAAGGGGATCCTCCAGCAGTTTTTTTTTGTCTCCAGCATTTAGAGTTCAGAATTGGGAAGGGTTTGGCATCGAGATGGTCATTGGGGAGAAGGGAAAGACCCCCTAGACCCCATCCTCTCTCATTTAATGACATGGTGCAAATACCACCGGGCAATACCTGAGCCGCCCCCACGTTATCAGCTCTCACAAACCAAACCCTACATCAGCTCAGGGCCACCAGGAGAAAAATCCTGCAGCAAAACACATGAAAGTGAATATTTGGGTCAAAACAGGGTGATGTTTTTTGTGCTGAGTGGAAAGAGGAGGATGCGATGTTGGAGGGAAGTGAGAGTGTCAAGCAGGACTTGGGAGTAAAGCTGGGAAGTGAACAATACATGAATCTGAAAGGCTGCGTGGAAAATTATTTTCAGCATTATTTTATAGAGAAAGGAAAATTCAGAGTGCTTCTGTTTACTAGGCAGTGTTTCCTCCGCACACACATTTTTCTCTGCATGGACCCTACGGAGATGCTGGGAGGGTCTTGGGTGTGATGGTCCCATGGGCGACGCAAGACCCCTGCCTCCCACCAAAGGCACCTAAGGCAATCGCCTACATGGCCGCATCCATACTTCAGACCCAAAAACCCTCATTCTACCCCAAGAAACACCTTCAAGGGACATCAGTGTCCCCCAGACATCTCCAGATTGCCCTTCTGAGGTCACTGGTCACAGGAGACCAAGGCGGGGGCACCACATCCCTGAAATTTCTCCCCCTCAGGAGAAATTTCTCCCCCTCGGGACACCGGGACAGGTTGCCCAAGGAAGCCAACGGGTGGCCCCATCGCTGGAAGAGCTTGAGGTTGGACAGGGCTTTGAGCACAGAATCACACAAGGGTTGGAGTTGGAAGGTACCTCCACCTGCTCCCAGCTCAACCAGCATCGGGATGTCCATCTCCAGGTGGCTTGGAGCATCTCCAAGGTGGGAGACGCACCGCGAGCAACCTCATCAGGTGAAAGGTGCGATCTTTAAGGGTCCTCCCAACCCACCCCATTCTATGACCCCACCATCCGTAGCACATCGCCCCCCACGCACGCCCCTTGCTCCTCGCCATAGTCAGGGTAGTACTCGTACAGCCGCTCTCCCTTGTGGATGAGGAAGGGGGGGTGACCAGGTTGGAGAAGTCGCCAAAGGTCTTCCCACAATCCGGGTGCTTGTAGGGTCGTTCCCCGGTGTGGCCCCGCTGGTGTCACCTCAGGCTGTTTGGACCTCCATGAGCAAAGGATTGAACGTCCAAGAGCAAAGAATTGGGCCTCCATGGGCAAAGGATTGGGCCTCCAGAAGAAAAGCACCGGACCTCCATGGGCAAAGGGCTGGACTCCACAAATCAAGGATTGGGCCTCCACAAGCGAAAGATTGGGTGACCGATCCACACCATGGTGTCACCCATTCCCACAGTGTCACCCACCCCTTGGTGTCACCCATACGCCTGGTGTCACCCAACCCACAATGTCACCTATCCCCTTGGTGTCACCCAACCTATGGTGTCACCTATCCCTTTGGTGTCACTCAACCCATGGTGTCACCCAACCGTGTCACCTATCCCCTTGGTGTCACCCAACCCATGATGTCACCTATCCCTTTGGTGTCACTCAACCCATGGTGACACCCAACCCATGGTGACACCCAACCCATGATGTCACCTATCCCCTTGGTGTCACCCAACCCATGGTGTCACCCAACCCATGGTGACACTCCCCCTTGGTGTCCCCCACTTGATGTCCCCCCCTCCATGGTGTCACCCATCACCAAACCTACCCGGGCAGCTCCCAGACTCCCCCTGGGGTGAGGGTGGGTGAAGGAGCCCCCCCATTAACTAGGGGACGCTGCCCAGACCCCCCCAGTTACCAACAGGGAACTACCAAGTGCCCCCCAAATACCAGCAGCTGCTACCCTGGACCCCCCCTTTATTTCCAAATCTTGCCCAGACAGACCCCCCCCCCCCCCCAAATAAAGACAGGGCACTGACCAGCCCCCCTATTACCTATGGGAACCTATTTAGGACCCCCCCCATTAATTATGGGGCACTGCCCAGCCCCCTCATTACCTATGGGGTCCATCGCCCCTCCCCATTACCCCCATTGCCCCCCCCGGCTCCCCCCACCCGGTATCTGCAGGGAGCCCCGAGCCGCAGGCCCGCCCCCCCCGCGCCTCCCGGTTGGGCTCTCCCGGCCCCTTCCCGCGGCCGTGCAGGCGCGGCCGGGCTGCACCAAGGCGGCGGGGCCGGGGGGGGGGCCGAGGCTCCGCGCCCCCAACAGGAGAGAGAAACGGAATAAGGAAATTAAATTAAATTATTGGTTATTTCTTTAAATTTAATTTTAGAAACATAAAAAAATAAAAATAAAAAGAAGACAATTCCGAAATGATAAAAGTAATCATAAAAGAACGCCCCCAAATATTAAAAGATGAAAAGATATAAATGAAAAAATAAAAAACGAAGATAAAGCAAAAATAAAAAAGCAAACAAAAAATAAATGAAAAACCGAAAACAAAAGATAGAAATATAATAAAAAATAAAATTAAAAAATAAATAGAAAATGAAAGCAAAATGTAAAAAATAAATTTAATTTAATTTAATTTAAATTAAATCCCCCAAATTAAAATAAAAATTAAAAAAATGAAACCCCCAAAATTAAAGAAATAACAAATAAAAAAGACAAAGGCAAAACAACAAAAAATAAACAATGTATTAAAAATTATAATAAATAAATAAGCAAATAATTTAAAAGTGATTTTAAAAAAGTAAAAAAGAATCAAATGCAAATTAAACAAATGAACAGAAACACCCCAAAAATAAAGAAATAAGGAAATTAACCAAAACTAAAATTAAAACCCAAAGACTGACACCCCCCCCTCCCCCCCCAGGCCACAGGGTCCCAATTTTGGCACTTTCTGGCTGACCAAAACCCTGGGTTTTGAGGCAATTCTGCCCCAAATGGACACGGGGGGGGGGGGGGGGAGAGGGAGGAAGGGGAAGAAACGCCCCAAAACCGGGTGAATTATCCCCAAATTTTTATTTCCCTCTGAGGGATGAAATCACTTCTCCTCTCCCGCTCTTTGGGGTGAAAACTGCCCTTTTTCTGAGCGCTCAAAAATCCCCCAAATCCATCCAAAATGGATTTTTTTTTTTGGGGGGGGGGTCCCGAATTCCACCCAGCAGGACGGGTGCCCCCACTCCCCCACCCCCAAAGTGTGGGGCAGCCCCCCAAGTGTGGGGCCAGCAGGGATCAACTGCCCGGCTGCGTCATCCCCTGGGCAGGATGCGCCCCCCCCCCCCCCGGACGCCCCCAAAACGCCCCCCAGCCCCCCCCAAGCCCCCCCTCCCCTCCGCCTCCGGCTGCCTGGGGAGGGTTGGGGGGGGGGGGGGGGGGGGTCCGGTGTCCTCCCCCCCCCACTCTCTCCTTGTCCCCCCCCCGGCCCCGCCCCCCCCTCAGGCTCCGCCCCCCGCCCGCCCCCGCCCACCTGGGCCCCCCCCGGGCACCGCCCCCGCGCCGCCGGGAGCCGCGGCAGCCCCGCTCCTGCCCCGGCCTCCGGGGGGGCTCCTTCGGCCCCCCGTGACCCCCCCCCCCCCCCCAAAAAACTCCCGGACCCCTCCCCCCCCCCCTCCCGCCATCCCGGACCGCCCCCCCCCCAAAAAAAAAAAAAAAAAATCTCCGGACCCTCCCCAAATTGCTGCTCCCCTCCCCTAAATCCCCCCCCCCCCACAATTTAGCCCCCCCCCCCGCCCCAAATTTGCACCCCTCCAATTTAGGCCCCCCCAATTTACCCCCCCAAATTTCCGCCCCCCACCCAAATCTCTCCCCCCCTTCAATTCCAACCCCCCAAATTTCCCCCCTCCCCAAATCCCCCTCTTCAATTTCCTCCCTCCCCCCAAATTTTCCCCACCCCCTCCCCAAATCTCCCGAACCCCCCAAATCCTCCCCCCCCCCAAATTTCCGTGCCCCCCCCCACCCCCATACCTTGCACAGGCTCCGCTCCGGCTCCGCCAGCCCGGACGACCCAGGTAAGGCCACGGGAGGGGGTAAAAGGAGGGGGGGGGCACGGGGGGGGCTCCCCGCATTACACACACCCCAATTCCCCCCCCCCCAAAAAAAAAAACCTTTGTATCGAAGCCCCCCAGGCTGGGAGCCCCCCCTCCCCCTTCCTGGAGCCTTGCACCCCATTGTGTGCCCCCCCCCCTTAATCCAGTTTGGGACCCCCCCCCCTTCCTGTGACCCCCCCAATCCGGGCCCCCCCCCCCCCCAATAAACTCTCCCCTATTCTGGGGCCTCTGACCCCCCCCTCCAGGCCTGGGACCCCCTCCCTATATCCAAGGCTCCCCCCCGGTATATCCAGGACCCCCCCCATGTTCAGGACCCCCTCTCTTTATTCAGCCGCCCCCCCACATGCAGGGACCCCCCCATTTTTAAAGAGCCCCCCTTATCCAGGGACCCCCCCTTATATTCAGGGACACCCCCCCTTGTTTTTAGGGACCCTCCCCCTCTATTTCAGAGCCCCCCCCTATTTCCAGAGCCCCCTTCCTTTTCCAGCCCCCCCCCCCCATTTTCAGGACCCCCCCCTTTTTCAAAGACCCCCTCTTTCTATTTTCAGCCCCCCCCCCATATTCACCCTCCCCCCCCATTCCAGGATCCCCCCCCCATATTCTTAGACCTCCCCCATCCCAATTTTGCCCCTCCCCATCCCATGACCCCCCCCCTTCCCGAAAGGGGGGTGGGGGGGGCAATAAAGAGGGGGGGGGGGGGCCGAGGGTCCGGGGGGGGGGGGCCTGCAGGGCCTGAGCTCAGCAGTATCCAAGCAACTGGCTTAGTTAGCGTCAGCCCTCATTAGTGCCCGGCTTAATTACCCCAGGGCCTAGCAGCGCTGCGGGAGGGGGGGGGGATGCTCAGGGGAACGTCGTCCCCCCCCCCCCCCAAAAAAAAAGGCATCGCACCCCCAGCTTCAGGGCAGGCTCCTTTGTGCAGGCCGGGCGTGCAAAGCGGGCGTGCAAAGCGGGGTGGGGGGGGGGGGGGGATTGCCCGGGTGGGGCTTGCACCGCGCTGCACACAGGGAGGAGCCGGTGCGGGTGCAGCTTGCACGGGCGCGTGCGTGTGCAAGCAGGGTGTGGCGTGCACTGTGCGCGTGCAAACGGGGTGTGGCGTGCACCTTGCATGTGCAAGGGGGGTGCAGTTTGCACTTTGCAAGCAGGGTGCACCTTGCACGGTGCATGTACAAAGGGGGTGCACCTTGCACGCTGCACGTACAAGTGGGGTGCAGCTTGCACTGTGCATGCACAAAGGGGGTGCACCTTGCACTTTGCACGTGCACATGGGATGCACCTTGCACTGTGCATGCACAAAGGGGGTGCACCTTGCACTTTGCACGTGCACATGGGGTGCACCTTGCACTGTGCATGCACAAAGGGGGTGCACCTTGCACGCTGCATGTGCAAGCAGGGTGCAGCTTGCAATTTGCACACACAAAGCAGGGTGCAGGCTCGCACCACGCGCAGGCAGGCTGCAGTTTGCACTTTGCACGTGCACCTCCAGGATTTGTGGGGTGCGCCTTGGGGACCTATAGGGCCGCGTGTAAGGGCACCTATAGGTTGGGGAGAGCCTGCGTGTGCCATAGGGGATGCTGCGTGTGGCTGCAGCCCTTGGAGAGCCCCGGGGCGTGCTCTATAGGGGCTCGGCGCGTGCGTGCCCCGGGGCGGCGCTCTATAGGGGACGCTGCACTTGTGTGTGCGCACGCGCATGGCCGGGTGTGCTCCATAGGGGATGATCTGTTTTGTCTGCGGGCACGTGCGGCGCGGCGTGCCCTATAGGGGACGCAGGGCACGTGGGGCGTGCTGTGCTGTAGGGTATATAACCTATAGGGGACGCGGGGCGAGTAGGGTGTCATTTGTAGTTGAGGGGCTTTATATAGGGGATGCAAAGGCTTGTGGGGCGCGCTCTCTAGGGGATGCAGGGCACGTGGGGTGTGCTCTATAAGGGGTGTGTTCTATAGGGGGTGTGCTCTGTATATGAGATATAGGGCATGTGGGTCATACTCTGTAGAGGAGTACTCTATAGGGGGCATACTCTGTATAGGGCATGCAGGGCATGTGGGGTGTGCTCTATAGGGGGTGTGCTCTATAAGGGATGCAGGGTATGTGGGGTTGCTGTAGAGGGGATGTAATATATAGGGGTTGTAGAGCACCAGGGGCATAATTTATAGGGGATGCAGGGCATGCAAGGCGTAATTGATAGGGTGGCACTGTATATAGGGCATGTGGGGCATAATTTATAGGGGGTGAAGGGTGGGTGGAACATACCCTATATAGGGCACGTACCCTATATAGGAAATGTTACCCTATAGGGGGTGTACCCCGCATAGGGGTCTCAAGGCAGGGGGGGGAGTGCTCTCCAGGGGCTGCGGAGTGTGTGGGGCAGGCTCTATAGGGGCTGTCCCCGCAGGTGACAGCAGCGGTGACGTCCCCACCGACGGCCAGCATGGAGGGGACAGGACGGATCCTGCCCCACGGCAGGGTAAGGCACCCGAGCGGCCGACCTGGGGGGAGGTGGAGGACACGGATGCCCACAGTGTCCCCACGCGTCCCCCTGTATCCCCCTATATTCCCCCCCCCGGCCCCATAAGTGCCCCCGTAAGTGTGGGGCCACTGCCCCTGCAGGTGCTGCTGGTGCTGCTGGCGCTGAGTGCGGCGTGCGGCCAGGCGGCCGTACGCGTCAACCTGACGGAAGGTAGGTGGGAGGCCGACGCGTCCTCTGCCGCGTCCTCCACCGCTGCGTCCTCCACCGCCTCCATCACATCTCCGGCATGTCCCCGCCGCAGTCCCAACAATCCCCGCGGTGTCCTCCACCACGTCCTCCGCCACGTGCCCGTGGTGTCCTCCACCTCGTCCTCTACCACGTCCTCCACCCACCACATCCCCATGGTGTCCTCTACCATGTCCTCCACGGTGTCCCTACAATGTCCCCAGTAACCTCCGTGGTGTCCCCCACCAAGTCTTCAACCACGTCCTCCGGTGTGTCCTCCTCCACATCCCCACCGCGTCCTCCACCAAATCCCGACCGTGTTTTCCTTTGCGGTGTCCTCTGCCCTGTCCTCCACCCTGTCCTCCTCCATATCCCAACCATGTCCTCCTCTACTGTGTCCTCCACCATGTCCCCCACCACATCCTCCACCATGTCCTCCAGTACTTCCCTACCATGTCCTCTTCTCCCATGTCCTCCAGCACATCCCCACTACGTCCTCCACCACATCCTCCACTACATCCCTACCATGTCCTCCTCTACCACATCCTCCACCATGTCCTCCAGCACATCCCTACCATGTCCTCTTCCACCATGTCCCCCACTACATCTCCACCACGTCCTCCACCACATCCTCCAGTACTTCCCTGCCATGTCCTCCTCTACCCTGTCCTCCACCATGTCCTCCAGCACATCCCTACCATGTCCTCCTCCACTGTGTCCTCCACCACATCCCCCACTACATCCCCACCATGTCCTCTTCTACCACATCCTCCACCATGTCTTCCTCTACCACGTCCTCTACCACGTCCTCCAGTACTTCCCTACCGTGTCCTCCTCCACTGTGTCCTCCACCATGTCCCCCACTACATCCCCACCACATCCTTAACCACATGCTCCAGCACATCCCTACCATGTCCTCTTCAACCATGTCCTCCAGCACATCCTCACCACATCCTCCTCTACCACGTCCCCCGCTACATCCCCACCATGTCCTCTTCTACCACATCCTCCACCATGTCTTCCTCTACCACGTCCTCTACCATGTCCTCCACTACGTCCCCGCTGGATCCTCTTCTACTGCGTCCTTCACTATGTCCACCAGAACATCCCTACCATGTCCTCCTCCACTGTGTCCTCCACCATGTCCACCACGTCCTCCAGCACATCCTCACCACATCCTCCTCTACCACGTCCCCCACTACATCCCCACCACGTTCTCTTCTACCACATCCTCCACCACGTGCTCCAGCACATCCCTGCCATGTCCTCCTCCACCATGCCCCCCACTACATCCCCACCGCGTCCTCCACCATGTCCTCCAGCACGTCCCTACCGCATCCTCCTCCGCCGCGTCCCCGCCGCCTCCTCGGCCGCGTCCTCCGTCTCGTCCCCGCCGCAGGCTGTGAAATCATCCACCCGCCGCGGGACGGGGGCATCCGCTACCGGGGGCTGACCCCGGAGGAGGTCCAGAGCGTCCGCTTCCTCCCCTTCGACTATGAGATCGAGTACGTCTGCCGCCCCGACCGTGAGATCGTGGGGCCCAAGGTGCGCAAATGCCAGCGCAACGGCACCTGGACTGCCATGGGACACCCCAGCCGCTGCTGTGAGCCTCCACCTCCCCCCCCCCCCCCAAAAAAAAAAAAAAAAATCAGGGTTTTTATGGGGAAAAGACATGGGGCTGAGGCTTTGCGCCCCCGTTTTAGTGCGGACTTGCCCCAAAATGCACCTGAGCCTGGAGAACGGGCAGGCGGTGGCGCGGGCGATGGAGCGGGTGCCAGTGGAGGGGACGTGGACTGAGTACAGCTGCAACCCCGGGTTCCGCCTGCTGGGCAGCCCCCGCAGTAACTGCACCAAGCTGGGGCGGTGGAGCACCCCGAAACCCGTCTGTGAGCGTGAGTGTCCATGGGGTTTGGGGATCTCTGGGGTGGGGGTTCAGGTGTCCGGGGGGGGTACTGGGATAGGGTTTTGGGACTCTACGAGGTGTTTGTGGGGTTTGAGGGGTCTCTGGGGTGGGAGTTCAGGTCTCTGTGGGGTGTCCATGGGGTTGAGGGGCCTCTGTGGTGGGGGTTCAGGTCCCTGTAGGGTCTTTGAGATGGGGGTTCAGGTCCCTATAGGGTGTCCATGGGCTTCAGGGGTCTCTGCAGTAGGGGTTCAGGACCCTGTGGAGTGCCTATGGGGTTGGGGTTCTCTGGGAGAGGGGTTCAGGTCCTTATGGGGTGCCTGTGGGGTTGGGGGTTGTCTAGGATGGAGGTTAAGGCCCTTATGGGGTCTGCACTATGGGATAAGGCCCCTATGGGGTCTTTGGGATGGGGATTCAGGCCGTTATGGGTGCCCCTGGGTTTTGGAGGTCTCTGCAGCAGGGGGTTCAGATCCCTGTGGGATCTCTGTGGTAGGAGTTCAGAACCCCACGGGGTGCCCATGGGGCTGGGGGGGTCTCTGGGGTGGGGGTTCATGTCCCTGGGGAGTCCTGGTCCCCATGGGGGGGTCTCTCTGTGACTCAGTTCCCCCTCCCCCACAGTTCGTCGCCCTCTCTCAGGTGAGTTTGGCCCCATGTGCCCCCCCCCCCCCAAACCCCGGTCCCCTCTCCCCTGGGTGGGGGCAACCCCAGCCCCCCCCAGCTCCCCAGTGGTTCACGGCACGGGGGTTGGAGTGGGGTGGGGGGCAGCATCCTCAGGGCCCCCTCTCCCTCCACGTACCCCTCTCTTCATCCGGGGGGGGGTGGGGGGCATCGGGAGCCCCCCCCCCATCGTGCAACGGGGGGCGTTGGGGCGGGATCCGCCTCCTCTCCGCCTCCTCCTCCTCCTCCTCCTTCTCCCAGCCTCCCTCTGCGCCCCCCCAGCCTCCGCCTCATCTCCCTCCCTCCCCGTCCTCCATCACCCATCCGCCCCCGCCTCCCCCCCCCCCCAGCATCCTCCATCCCCGCTTTCCTCCGTCCCTCCGGCTCCGTCCCTCTGCCTCTCCGCTCCCTGTCCCTTTTTTTTCCCTCCAGCCCCCCCCCCACCCCCCCCCCGCCACCCCCAGCCCCTCCGTCCATCCGTCCGTCCTTCCGCTCGCCCTCCGCCTGCCTCGCCGCTCTCCAGCCTCCGTCCTCCCCCGTCCTTTCGTCCCCCTGCCCTCCAGCCTCCTGTTTTTCTGTTTTGCACCCCCCCCCTTTCCTTTTCGGCTTTGCATCCATCCTCCTTTCTGTTTTGCAACCTTTCTGCCTCGCATCCGTCCTCCTTTTCTGCTCTGCGTCCTCCTTTTCTGCTTTGCATCCTCCTTTTCTGCTTTGCATCCATCCTCCTTTTTGCTTTGCGTCCTTTCCAGCTTTGCATCCATCCTCCTTTTCGGCTTTGCACTCTTCCCTTTCTGCTTTGCATCCATCCTCCCTTCCTGCTTTGCACCCTTTGCCTGTTTTGCACCTTTTTTCCTGCCTCGCACCCTCCTCTCCTGCTTTGCACTCTCCTTTTTCTGCTTTGCATCCTTTCCTGCTTTGCATCCATCCCCCTTTTTTGCTTTGCAACCTCTTTTTTGCTTTGCATCCTCTTCTCTGCTTTGCATCCTTCTCTGCTCTGCACCCCCCCTTTCTGCTCTGCACCCCCCCTTTCTGCTCTGCACCCTTCTCTCCATCCTTCCTTCTTTCCCCTCCCCACCCCTCTTCCCTTGCCACCCCTCCACCCCACCCCCCCCAAAAAAAACCCTCATTGCCATTCCTCCGGTGCCTCCGTCCCCCCCCTGAGCCCCCCGCCATGGCCAACCTGCCCCCCCCCTCGCCCTGACCCACCATGGCGAGCGTCCCCGCGGTCCCCCCCGGCTCCCCACGCTGGCTGCTGGTGCTCAGCGCCCTGCTGGTGTCGCGCCCGCCGGGGGGGACAGGCAAGAAGGCCGTGCACGTCGGGGCACTCTTCCCCATGAGCGGGGGGTGGCCGGGGGGGCAAGCGTGCCTGCCCGCCGTCCGCATGGCGCTGGAGGACGTCAACAGCCGGAGGGACATCCTGCCCGACTACGAGCTGCGCCTCATCCACCATGACAGCAAGGTGGGGAGGGGGCGGCGGGGGTAAGGGGAGGTGGGGGGGGTTATGGGGGTGTAGGGGGGAAGTGGGGATGGGGAGGTGGGGATGGGGATGGGGGTGATGGGGGCAATGGGGATGGGGACGTGGTGAGGGGCAATGGGATGGGAAAAGGGATGGGGATGTGGGGAGGGGTGGTGGGGATGGGGATGGGGCAATGGGGATGGGGGGGAGTGGGAATGGGAACGTGAGGAGGGGTGATGGGGATGGGGACAGGGATGGGGACATGGTGAGGGGGACGGGGACATGGTGGGGGGCAGTGGGGATGGGGACGTGGTGAGGGGCAATGGGATGGGGACAGGGATGGGAACGTGGGGAGGGGTGGGGGAGACAGGGACACGGTGGGAGGCAGTGGGGATGGGTCAGGGATGGGGGCGTGGTGAGGGGTGGTGGGGATGGGGGGCAGCAGGGGGTGGTGGGGATGGGGGCAGAGCTATAGGGCAGGGTATAGGGACAGCAGGATGGGGCAGGGACACGGGGCAGGGTGGCCAGGATGGGGCAGAGCTATAGGGCAGGGACATGGGATGGGGTGACCAAGGTGGGACGGGACATATAGGGCAGGGTGACAAGGACGAGGCAGATAAATTGGGGGCTGGGGGGGGGGGGAGCAGATATATGGGGCAGGGTGGCAATGACACCACAGATATATAGGGCTATACAGGGCAGGGGCAGAGGGACCGAGGCAAGGGTGGGGAAGGGGGCTAGGATGGGGCCAGGGTATTTGGGGCACTGGTGGGGGGCTTGGATGTGCTGGGGGGGGGGGTCACGGGCATAAACCTGCCCCATAGCAAGGGGAAGCAGTGGGAGTCCCTCTGATGCCCCCATCCCCATCCATCTGTCCCTTATCCCAGTGTCCATCTGTCTTGCACCCCCCATTCCCCCTTTCTGTCCCCATCCCCCCCCCCTTTTTTTTTTCCTGCATCCCCCCCCCATCCAGCCCGGTTGCCACGGCAGCGGATGCTGCTGGGTCTGCCGCTGGGTTGCCGTGGCGACGGCGCCTCCGTGCCCTGAATTATTCACAGCCCCCCCAGGGAGGGAGCCGGAGCATCGCGGGGCCCCCCCATGGGAACCCAGACTCCCCCCCCCTTCCCTTTTATATAGTTTTTTTTTGGGAAGCGGATCCAACCCCACCACCAGGAGGGGAATGGGGGCGATGGGTTAAACTGGGGGAACTGGGATGGGGAAAAGGGGCGGTGAGGAAACAGGGGGGGAGTCCAGCAGCTGCTTGATCCTTGTGTCCCTGTTCCCCCCCCCCCCCCGCAGTGTGACCCAGGCCAGGCCACCAAGTACCTCTATGAGCTGCTCTACAACGACCCCATCAAGATCATCCTCATGCCCGGCTGCAGCAGCGTCTCCACGCTTGTGGCCGAAGCCGCCCGCATGTGGAACCTGATTGTGGTGAGGGGCAACACCCAGGGTCCTAGGGGGGGCACACCTTGGGGGGGTAACACAGGGTGCTGACCCCCCCGATGCTGCTGGGGACGGAGGTGGCGTGGTTGCACTGGTGCTCAGCAGTGGTCATGCACGCGTGTCGCATTGCACGCAGCAACGCGTTGTTGTGTTGCACGCACGGCTGCAGCCACCGCGTGCCAAGGACGTGTGCGAGTGCTGCTACGTGCGTGGTTGTTGCTCCGCGTGTGCTTCTTGCCGTCAGGTTGTTGTTTTCGGGTTGTTGCTACACGTGGCGTTGCTTCCGGGGTGTTGCTGTGTGCGCAGCTGTTGCTTTCGGGTTGTTTTTGTATATGTGCTTGTTGCTTTCGGGTTGTTGCTGCACGTGTGGTTGCTTTTGAGTTGTTAACGCGTGCGCTTGTTGCTTTCAGGGTGTTCTTCCATTTGCAGTTGTTGCTGTGTGTCTGCTTGTTGCTTTCAGGTTGTTACGTGCACGCTTGTTGCCTTCTGGTTGTTGCTTCGTGTGTGCTTGTTGCTTTCGACTTTTTGGGGGGCTCACGACCCCCCTCTGCTCTTCCCCCTCCCCTCGCAGCTCTCCTACGGCTCAAGCTCCCCTGCCCTCTCCAACCGCCAGCGCTTCCCCACTTTCTTCCGCACCCACCCCTCGGCCACTCTGCACAACCCCACGCGTGTCCAGCTCTTCAAGAAGTGGGGCTGGACCAAGATCGCCACCATCCAGCAGACCACGGAGGTCTTCACCTCGGTACGCACGCTGGAGACCCCCCCTCAAACCTGCTTCGACCCTGCTGCCATGCCCTCCACGACATCCCCAAAATCTGCTGCATCACTGCTTGCCCCCATCCTGATGACCCCATGGTTCGTGACCTGACCCAACTCAACCAGACCTGACCCAACCCAACTCAACCAGACCTGACCCAACCTGACCCAACTCAACCCAATCCAACTCAACCTAACCCAACCTGACCCAACTCAACCCAACTCATCCCAACTCAACCCAACCCAACTCAACCTGACCCAACCCAACCCGACTTGACCCGACCCAACTCATCCTGACTCGACCCAACCCAACTCAACTTTACCTGACCTGACCCGACCCAACCCAACCTACCCGTATCCCTTGCTTGGTGCCCCTCCACCCTCCCCGGGCTCACTCTGCACTCTCTTTCCCTTCTGACCTCCCCCACCCCATCTGCCTGCCCCCTGTCTGCCCACTCCCCGCCCTGCTGGCCCCCCCACCAGACCCTTGATGACCTGGACCAGCGGGTGAAGGAAGCCGGCCTGGAGATCACCTTCCGCCAGAGCTTCTTCTCTGACCCTGCCGCACCTGTGCGCAACCTCAAGGTGAGCCCACCTCACCTGCGTGCCCAAAACCACTGGGGTGCTTCTGGAGCCATGCCCTGAACCCCAAAAAGGGAGCAGAGCCACTCCAGGATGCCCAAGCATCCAGGTCAAGGTGGGGATGTGAACCTGCATCTCTTCCACCTGGATGAGGAGCCGTGTCCATGACGGGCAACACTGAGTTTTAACTGCCAGCTCCACCTTCCTATTCAAATTTATGCAAATGAGGGGTGGGTGGGGTTGGGTTTGCGTAAGCCCAGGGAGCAGATGTCCCACCCCAGGCTGAGTTGTCTCCCTGCAGCGCCAGGACGCCCGTATCATTGTGGGGCTCTTCTACGAGACAGAGGCGCGTAAGGTCTTCTGCGAGGTGAGGAGCACATGGGTGGAAAGGGGGGGACACCAGTGGGGCAGGCACCAGTGGGGCGTGAGGGAGCACATGGAATGGAGGAGGGTGGATGTAGGGTGATGGATGGTGGGATGGAGAAAAGGGTGGTGGGGCACGTGGGAGAGAGGGCAGAAAGGTGGTGGTGGGATGGGTGGGTGGAAGCGTGGGGAGATGCGAGTGTGGTCAGATGGGTGGGTAAGTGGGATGGTGGGAAGAGAGATGGTTGAGTGGAGGCACAGGGTGAAGAGTGGGTGGACGAAGGTCTGGATGGATGAACGGGGTGTGGATGGCCAGAGGTCTGGAATGATGGGCAGAGGTATGGATGGAGAAACATCAGGATGGATGGACAAAGGTCAGGATGGACAAAGGTCTGGATGGATGGACAGGCTGTGGATGGACTGATGGCTGGATGGATGAACGAGCTGGGAAGAAGGATGCTAGATGAGCAAAGGGTGACGGGATGAAAGCAGCTGCCCCGCGGCCCGCCCAGGTCTACAAGGAGAAGCTGTATGGCAAGAAGTACGTCTGGTTCCTCATCGGCTGGTACGCCGACAACTGGTTCCGCATCAAAGACCCGGCCATCAACTGCACCGAGGCGGAGATGGCCGAGGCCGTGGAGGGGCACGTCACCACCGAGATCGTCATGCTCAACCCTGAGAACACCCGCAGTATCTCCAACATGGTACAAGGCTGGGGGGGGACACATCCCAACAGGGAGGGCAGGCAAGGCAGCTTGGACCCCAAGGGTCTTCTCCATCGCATCCACCACATCGCCACCTCCCTGTCCCTGTCCCAGACGTCCCAGGAGTTCATCGAGAAGCTGCAGAAGAGGCTGGGGAAGAACCCAGAGGAGACGGGCGGCTTCCAGGAGGCGCCGCTGGCCTATGATGCCATCTGGGCGCTGGCCCTGGCCCTCAACAAGACCTCAGCAGAGCTGGTCAAGAAGGGGCTGCGCCTGGAGGACTTCAACTACAACAACAAGAACATCACCGATGAGATCTACCGGGCCCTCAACTCCTCCGCTTTTGAGGGTGTCTCGGTGCGTTGCACCCCAGAGCATCCCCCAACCCTGTCCACCTTCTCCCCACCAAGGTGTCCCATGTCCCCAGCTCCTTAACCTTTGAGGGTGTCCCCTGAAACACCCCCAAAAAGTGCCAGATGGGTGAAAACTTTGCCTCCTAGCACCCGCTGGGCACGTGGTGCTGCTGCCTGACAGGTCCGTGTCCTGATGCTCATCCCACAGGGCCACGTTGTCTTTGACGCCAGTGGGTCCCGCATGGCCTGGACACTCATCGAGCAGCTTCAAGGTGAGTGAGCGCAGGTGTGCAACACGGTCACCATGTCCCATGTGTTCCCTTCATCACGAGATGCTTGTAGCAGGCAACATCACATCTGTTGCACACATCAAACCCTCTCGTTTGCATGATAAATAGCATACAACAGCGAACTGGTGCCCCAGGATGGACACCACAACAACCCTTTGGGCCAACAGGACACGAAGCCTTAGCATGCAATCACTCATGCGTGTGATGGAGGGAGGTGGTCAGGAGGTAGGAGGGACAGGAAAGGACAAAGAAGGTCACCAGGAGTGGTCAGCGTGGATTCAACAAGGGGATGTCAGGCTTGGCCAACTTGACCACCTTCTGCTGGTCTGGTAGATGAAGGGAGAGCGATGGACGTTGTCTAGGTGGACTTTAGGAAGGCTTTCGGCACTGCCATAAGATCCTAGAGAAGCTGTTGATGGATGGGCAGACGGTGGGGTGGGTTGGGAACTGGCTGAACCATCTGGATGGTGGTGATCAGTGGCACCACATCCAGCTGGAGGACAGTCACCAGCATGTCCTGGGACCTGGTGGGGACACCAAGTGGAACAGGAACCAGTGATGTGCCCTTGCTGCAAGCAAGGATAAGTGTCCTGGACTGCCGTAGGCGAAGCATTGTCAGCAGGTCAAGGGAGGTGATCCACTCCGCTCAGTACTGGTCAGCCAAAACCGGCTGTACTGGGTCCAGTTCTGGGCTCCCCCATATGAGAGATATCTGGCCACACTGGAGAGAGTCAAGGAAGGATGATGGGCTGCTCCAGCTGAACATCAGGAAACACTCTGCCATGGTGCAGGTGGCCAAGCACTGGCACCCCAGAGAAGTTGTTGGGTTTCCAGCCTCATCTTCAAAAGCCACCAGCACGTAGTCCCGAGCACCCAGCTCTGGGTGGACCAGGTGGATCCAGGGGTGCCTTCCAACATCAACAATCCCAATGGGGTCATTGCACCTCCTGCCTGACCCGTCCCCACTGCCCTTGCAGGAGGTGTCTACAAGAAGATCGGCTACTACGACAGCACCAAGGACAACCTCTCCTGGTACAACAACGACAAGTGGATCGGTGAGAGGGGTGGTGGGAGGATGTGGGGGGACTTGGGGGAGCACCCACAGGGCTCCTGCCATTGGGAAGGGCCCCTCCGTGCCCCCTAATTGTGCCACGGGCTCTGCAGGAGGTGCCCCACCAGCTGACTACACCAAGGTCATCACCACCTTTCGGTTCCTGTCCCAGAAGCTCTTCATCTCTGTCTCAGTGCTGGCTTCGCTGGGCATCCTCTTGGCCATCATCTGCTTGGCCTTCAACATCTACAATGGGCACGTCCGGTCAGTGACACCCCCTTCCCCGAGGCCGATGGCCAAGAATCAGCCCAAATGTCACCGTTTTCCCGGCGTTTGGGTGCTCCCATGTGCTTCCTACGGCAACGGGAGGTTGCTCTTGGTAGGAATCTCCTCTTCCCGTGTCACTTCGGGCGGTGCTGAGCCTGTAGCACGCAGTGCCCAGCGTCCGTTGACCTCCCTTCGTGCCTCGGTTTCTCGGGTCCTATTGGGGGTCAGCTTGGCGCGATGGTGATGCCCCGTGTCCCCGTTGCGTGTGTCCTCCAGGTACATCCAGAACTCCCAGCCCTACCTGAACAACATGACGGCCGTGGGCTGCACGCTGGCACTCGCTGCCGTCTTCCCCCTGGGGCTGGATGGATACCACATCGGGCCAGGGCTCTTCCCCTTTGTCTGCCAGGTAGGGGGGGCCAGAGGAGGGAGGCAGCTGGAGGGGGAATGGTTTTGGGTACAGCTATGGGATTGGGACGGATGGAGGAGGAGTTCTGGGTGCAACTGTGGGATGGGGACGGGTGGAGGAGGAACTGTTGGAGATGGAACCATGGGATGGGGACAGCTGGAAGGGGAGTGGTTGTGGGTACAGTTGGAAGGGGAATGATGGTGGATACAGCTATGGGATGAGGACAGCTGGAGGAGGAATGGTTGGAGACAGAATCAGAGGATGGGGACAGCTGGAAGGGGAATAATAACTAGGGGTAGAGCCATGGGATGAGCACAGTTGGAGAGAGAATGGTTGGGATACAGCCATGGGATAGGGACAGTTGAAGGGGGAATGGTCAGAGATGGAACCATGGGAAGGGGACAGCTGGAGGGGGAACGGTTGTGGCTACAACCATGGGATGTGGGCAGCTGGAAGGGGAGGACACTGTCTAAGCACAGCCAAGCAATGGGGCCACCACACACCCTCCGCAGGCCCGGCTGTGGCTGCTCGGGCTGGGGTTCAGCCTGGCTTACGGCAGCATGTTCACCAAGATCTGGTGGGTCCACACCGTCTTCACCAAGAAGGAGGAGAAGAAAGAGAAGCGGAAGGTGAGGGGGGGTCCGGAGGAAGGGGGTGGGGGATTGCCGTGGTGCCGTGCTGACCCTGCGTGCCCCTGTGCCCCCAAAGCAGACCCTGGAGCCGTGGAAGCTGTATGCCACCGTGGGGCTGCTGGTGGGGCTGGACGTGGTGACGCTGATCATCTGGCAGATCGTGGACCCCCTGCACCGCACCATTGAGGTGGGGGTAGTGTGGAAGGAGTTGCTGAGGGCACTGCTGGGGGGAGGGTGTTCACGGCAGCGGGGGGATGCTCAGAGCAGCGGGGTATTGCTGGGGGGATGCTCACAGCACCAGGGCACTGCTGGAGGGAAGTTCACAGCACTGAGGGGGGGGGCGATGGCATCAGGGTGCTGCTGGGGGGCACAGGGGGGTCCCACAGCCAAGGCTCCCCCACCCATGTGCCCCCTCCTGCCCTTGCCACCCCAGGAGTTCACCAAAGAGGAGCCCAAGACGGACACGGACGTCTCCATCCTGCCCCAGCTGGAGCACTGCAGCTCCACCAAGATGAACACGTGGCTCGGTGGGCACGGGGGGGGTCGAGGTAGGGGGTTGGGGGTTGGGGGAGGCAGGCAGGAATTTGGTGATGGTGGGGGGAAGGGGTTCCAAGCAAGACTTGAGGTATGAGGAGGGTTGGGGTAGAGGTCCTAAAGGAGACCCATGGGGGGCAGATAAGGGGGGTCCCCCATTCCCTGCTTGACCACCGATGTGTGACCCCCCCCCTTTTACCCTTTATTCTCCCCCACCAGGGATATTTTATGGCTTCAAGGGGCTGCTCCTGCTGCTGGGCATCTTCCTGGCGTACGAGACCAAGAGCGTGTCCACCGAGAAGATCAACGACCACCGTGCCGTGGGCATGGCCATCTACAACGTGGCGGTAAGCCTGGGGAAAGGGGGGCTGCGGGGGGGGTCCTTTTGCCCCATATCTCACGGGGCGACCCCCAAAATATCACCCGCAGGTCCTCTGCCTCATCACCGCGCCCGTCACCATGATCCTCAGCAGCCAGCAGGACGCGGCCTTCGCCTTCGCCTCGTTGGCCGTCGTCTTCTCCTCCTACATCACCTTGGTCGTCCTCTTTGTGCCCAAGGTGACAGCGGGGACAGGGGCGCCAGGGGGGGGTGTCTCCGAAAAACCACCAGAGAGGGGACGGCCGTCTCGCGGGGTTCCTCCTCTGGACGTCGGGTGTTAGGTTTTGGGGTGAGGATCTGAAAATCGGGGGCCCCCGCAGATGCGGCGCCTCATCACCCGGGGCGAGTGGCAGTCGGAGCAGCAGGACACGATGAAGACGGGCTCATCCACCAACAACAACGAGGAAGAGAAGTCCCGGCTGCTGGAGAAGGAGAACCGGGAGCTGGAGAAGATCATCGCCGAGGTGGGTGCACCCCAAAAATGCGCTGGGGGATGTGCGGCACCCCACGGGTGTTGTAGCGTCGGGGTGCTGGGGTCACCTCGTTAGGGGTTTTGTAGCATTGAGGGTGTCAGGGACATCCCATAAAGGTGAGACACCCCATAAAGCTGTCGTAGCATTGGGGTGTTGGGGACATCCCATACAGGTTGACTGCCCCATAAAGGTGGGACACCCCATAAAGCTGTCGTAGCATTGGGGCGTTGGGGACATCCCATACTTCTTGAATGCCCCATAAAGGTGGAAAACCCCATAAAAACGTCATGGTGTTGGGGATACCCCATAAAGGTTGGATACCCCATAAAGATCAGGGCACTGGGGACACCCCATAAAGGCGTTGTAGCGTCAAGGAGTTGGGGACATCCCATAACAGTTGGACACCCCATAACAGTTGGATACCCCATAACGCTTGGACACCCCATAAAGGTTGGGCACCCCCTAAATGCATTATAGCGGGGTTTTACCAACCTACAGCTGCACCCACCCCCGGTGCACCACCCCTGGGGTGCTCCCCCCATCCCTTAGGGTCAGGGGCTGTTTCCCAATCCCTTTTTTCCCCCTTTTTTTTTCTCCCCCCTTTGCAGAAGGAGGAGCGGGTGTCGGAGCTCCGCCAGCAGCTCCAGGACCGCCAGCAGCTCCGCTCGCGCCGCCGCTCCTCCAACCCCTCCCGGGAGGCCGATAACCATTTTGCCCCGGGGTTGGGGGCCGCCCCGACCCCGGCCCCCTTCTACCAGCCCAACCTGCCCCTGGTGCGCTGCCTGGTCTCGGAGCAAGCCGACAAATTGGGACGGGGCAACTGTGACGGCAGCCGGGTCCACCTCCTCTACAAGTGACCCCTTCGGGGGGGGGATGCGAGGCGAAGAGCTGGGATTTGGGGCTAAGAAGGGTGGGTCCAAAGAGGGCGGGGCTAAGCAGGGTGGGGCTGTGGGGGGCGGAGCCTCTTGGCCTTATAATGGTGATTGTTTTTAAGGCGTTTTTCCCTTTTGTCTTCACCCCTGGGGGGCAGTTGCGGTGCCCCCCCTCCCCAGCTTGCCACCTGCCTCCGGTTGCGGTCAGGAGGCGAAATTTTGGGGAAGGGGGAGGGCGGTTGGTTAATTAGGGGAGGGGTGGGCTCAGAAGGGGTTACACCCCCACGCTTTCCCCCTCCAAGCATCCCCTGCTCCCCTCCTTCTGGTCCTCATCATCTTCCTCCTCCTCCTCCTCCTCCTCCACCAACGCATGACGCAGCCTCCCGGCGAGGCTGGCAGGGGGCAGCGGGCGTCCGACCCCCTCCCACTGCCCCCCAGGGTTGGAATCGAGGTGGGGAGAGGCAGCAGCCGTGCCCCCCCCCCCCCATCCCCTCTCCTTTTTTTTCCGTCGGGTTGTAGCTTACAACCGCGCGTAGTTACTCGTAGGTGTAGTAGCGCGCGACTTCCTCTGCTTGTAGCGACCGGCGTGGCGGGTCACGGCACGGGGAGGTGGGGGGGGGTCCATGCCCACCCCCAAAATGGGGTCCCAGCCCCCCCAAAGGCACCGTGGGCTTGGTTTGGGGGCCGTGGGAAGTTGTGCACGGCGGGGTCGGGGTCCTCGGGTGTACGGTCGTGCGGTAGTGGACAACCGGACCCTGGTTCTTCTCACGGTCTCCGTTGTCGTTCCTGAGCCTGGAAACATCCCAACACCTCGGTGTGCCCCCCCGAGACCCTCCCCAAAATATCCCCACACCCTCTGCCCCTTGGGATTTGGGGTGGCCATAAAGCCGAGGTCAAACCCGGAGCCGATGCCGCCCTCGTAGGGCACAAACCCTCAAGGTGATGGCTAGCACCCCCCCTCAGAATGGTGGTTCCCCTCCTCTTTTATTTGTTTTTTGCTTTTATTTGGGTTCAGGTTCACCCCTCCCGCCCCCAAAATACACACAGCCGGGTCGGGGACGGCTCCGATAGGGACCGGGGAGTTGGCGGCGGCGCCAGGCACGGCGGGAGGTGGAAATTGGGCACCCTGCCACCCTCCCAGCCCTAAAACACCCCCCCCCCTCCGACAGGGATTTGGGCACCCCCCTCCTCAATTTAAGCCAAACTGGTGATTTACAGCTCCTGGTTGCCCCCCCTTACAAACAAAAGGTCCTGGCTTTGTTGTTTTTTTTTGGGGGGGGGAGGGGGTGTCCTTGGGATCACGCTCGTTGCCGTTACAGAAGAGGCATCATCAGGACGTGGTATTGGGGAAAAGATTTAATAAAGGGGAAATGGGGCTTGTGTGTTGCCCCCCCATCCCCAAATCTGGGGGGGATGTCCCCTCCAAAACCCATTTGGCCAAGGGTATGAGTTTGGGGGGGGGAACCTGTTAGGAACCCATCCCCACCAAATGGGGAACCCCAAGACATCCCAGCCCCATAAAATGGGGAGGGGGTGTGGGGGGGGTCCTCGTTAATAGGGGGGCCACCCCGGCGGCCCCCAGGTGCTGTTTGTCACCTGGGCTGCCCCCCTCGCACGCCGCGGGCAGGAGGAAGAAGATGAAGACCCCGCAGAGCACCAAGCCCCCCGAAATCAGCAGGGCGACGGCAACGGCCACCGCCTTGAAGAAGGGCCAGTCGCCCCCCACCCCGGCCCCCCGGAGGGGCTGGGGGGGGCTGGGACCCCCCCACCTCCAGGCTGAGGGTCACCGTGGGCAGGCGGCCGGGCTGGGGGGCGTAGAGCAGGAGCCCCTTGGGGCGATCGAAGCGGACGAAGCCCCTTGGGGTGGCGGGGAGGGCGGGGGGCAGGAGGTCGGAGCAGGTCGGCAAAGCTGGGGGGCCGCGGCGGGGGGGCAGGGCTGTGGGGCGGCGGCAGATGGGGCAGAGTAAGGGGGCGGCAGGGGTCGCCACGCTGACCCTGGCCAAGCACTCGAGGCAGAAGACGTGGCCACAGCCCAGCGCCTTGGGCAGCTTGAAGAGGCGGTCGTAGGGGGCGAAGCAAATGACACAGTCCCGGGGGGGCCCCTCGGGGTCTGCCGGGGGGCTCGTCATGGCAGCGATGGCCCTAGAGAAGGGGGGAAACAGCGCGGGGGGGTTACAAGGGGGCAATAAGGACGTGAGGACGCAAGGTGAGGGAGCAAAAATAGGCAGGGATGGCATCGCTGCAAAGAATACCCCAATTCCCGCTGCCAACAGATCCCAAAAAAAAGCACAAAAATACCCAAACGCCCCCCCCCCCAGCCCCTCCTCACCTGCCCCCAGGGGTACCAACCCCCCCGTGGGGGCCGCAGCAAGCGCCCGCTCAGCTCAGGTACAGCCGGACAGGGAGGGCCAGCGGCACGCCCCCCCCCTCACCCTGTCACCAGGGGACGGGTCCCAGTCCCAAGGGCCACGGTGGCCCTGCGGGACCCGGCTGGCACCACACCTGGTTCGGGGTGGGACCTGTGGGTTTTGGCAGCTGTCCCATACCACTTTGTCACCCCGAGGGACTGGTTTCCTCCGGGGAGAAGCCTGTCACCCCCCCCCCCCCCCCGTCCCGGTTTTATTTCTTCTGCCTTGCCTCTCAGCGCTGTTTCCTCCACCCCCCGCTGTGGAACAAGGGATAAACGGGGGCACAGAGGGGATTCGGGGCAAGGGGACACAGCCCCCAACCCCAAATCACACCCAGGAATGAGGAAATCCCAACCCTATAACGTGCCAAGGTGAGCTGGGGGCAGCTGTGTAGCATGGAGACACGTGGGACCTAACGGGACATCCCCATGCTTTTCTGGGGTCCAGCCCCAAAAAGGACCCCCCCAGGCACCCCTCAGTGCGCGTGGAAGAGGACAAAATACCCCAAAAACCATAAACAGCACCCCCATAATCCCACAGCACAGGGAGGAGAGGAGGGGCACAAAGTAGAAGCCAACTTTATTTTGTGCATAACAGCAGCTCTTTAACGGTTGGACTTGGCCACGCGCTCCAGCTCATCCTTCTTCTTGATGGCGTATGAGTTGGAAGAGCCCTGGCAAGGGGAGGAGGAAAAAAAAACCGTGAGAAATCATGACATGTCGCGATTGTGAGGCCGTCCTGCCACCGCCTGGTGACAGCCTCACCTTGGCAGCGTTGATGAGCTCGTCGGCCAGGCACTCGGCGATGGTCTTGATGTTGCGGAAAGCGGCCTCGCGGGCACCCGTGCACAGCAGCCAGATGGCCTGGGAGGAAGGGGGGGGCAAGGGAAGGAAAAAGGGGGACATCAGGGACACGCTGACGAGGAGGGGGGTCCCCACAGCTCAGGGATTCCACAAAAGGGGGCACCTGGTTGACGCGGCGCAGCGGGGACACATCCACGGCCTGCCTCCGCACCGTGCCGGCGCGGCCGATGCGCGTCGAGTCCTCGCGGGGGCCGCTGTTGATGATGGCGTTCACCAGGACCTGCAGGGGGTTCTGCGGGGGGGGGAAAAAAAAAAAAAAAAGGGATAAAAATCAACCCATACACCCCTAAAACCCAACCGCTGCGCCCCTAAAAATGGTCCCAGCCCAACACCCAACCGCCCCGCACCTCTCTAAAGGGGGGAAAAAAAAAAAGGGATCAAAATCAGACCTTACGCCCCTAAAACCCAACCGCCGCGCCCCTAAAAATGGTCCCAGCTGCCCCGCACCTCCCCGGTGAGCAGGTGGATGATCTCGAAGGCGTGCTTGACGATGCGCACGGTCATCAGCTTCTTGCCGTTGTTGCGGCCGTGCATCATCATGGAGTTGGTGAGGCGCTCCACGATGGGGCACTGCGCCTTGCGGAAGCGCTTGGCCGCGTAGCGCCCGGCGCTGTGGGGCAGGTACTTGGCGTATTTCTCCTTGACGGCGATGTAGTCCTGCAGGGGGGGTAGGGGGGAGATGGTGAGGCCCCTTCCTGATGCGCCACGGGGTCTTGGGGTGACCCCAAAGGGTAACCCCACGCGGGCCGAAAAATACCTGGAGGGAGATGTCGTTGATCTGCACATCGTCCGTGCTCCACTTGCCGAAGAGCTTGATGTCGGGGGTCTCGGTGACAGCGGGCGCCGTCTCCCAGTCGGTCATTCTGTCAGGAAAACGGGGATTGGGGTGAAAAGGGGCAAGGCAGACCCGCCCCTTTTACCCCCTGCATTGAATTGGGGGGTGCAGGTCCTTAAAATGAGACGGTGAGGACCTGTGGGTGAGCCCGAAGAGGTGGAGCACCCTTCCGAATCACCCTTAACACAGGGAGCTCCCAAAAATCTTTTACCTCAAAGAGCCCCCCATAAAGGAACAGCCCCCAGAGCCCCCAAACTCCCACCTCAGTGCCCCCACAAGGCCTAGGACCCCCCTGTTTTTAACTCAATGACCCCCCCCAAACTCCTACATCAGAGCTCCCCCTGCCTGGAGCACCCCCCACTCCTCCATCAGGGACAACCCCAAGGCCTCAACCCCCCCCCCAATTTCTATTCGGGACCCCAACCACAGCCTGACCCCACACATTTTAACCCCAACCCCTTCCCACCTCATCACCTCCCCCCAAGGCCTGTCAACACCCCCCCACCCCCCAATTCCCACCTCAACACCCCCCCAAACCCAAATCCCTCTCCTTTCCTACCTCATCCCCCCCCCCATATTTTAACCCCACAATTCCCCCCAGTCCCCCCCAAGCCCCGATTCCTCCCCATTTAACCCCCCCCAGCCCTGAGAACCCCCAAATCCCCCTCCTAAACCCCTGAACCCCCCCTAATCCCCACCCCAACGCTCCCAAAATCCCTGAGCCCTCCCCTTTTGTACCCCAGTCCCCCCCCCAAGGCCTCACCCCAAATTCCTCCCTCAGCGACCCCCCCACCAGGCCCCAATTCCCCTCCCCCCCCCATTTACCCCCTCCCCGTGGCCTGAGGACCCCCAAACCCCCCTCCCAGACCCCACCACCCCCTCCCCGACCCCACAGCCCCTCCTCCGCCATTCTCAGCCCCAAATACCCCCAAATTCACCCCAAATTCCCCCCGGCCCCGCCGCACTCACATGGCGGCCTCTGCAGATCCGGCGCCGAAAAAGAGCTCGGACGGGGCCTCCCCGCCTCTTATCCAGGGGCAGGCGCCGGCTTCCGGCTGCGCATGCGCAACGCTGCAGCGAGGCTCCGCGCTTCCGCCCGTTCTACCCTCGCCGTGCCCGTCCTTTCGGTCCCGCCGGGCGGTGGCGCATGCGCGGAGGGCGATGGTGAAGCCGGGCGGGGCATGGTTGTTGAGGGCGTCTGCCCGAACTCTGCCATATTGTGGGGTTTCTCCCTATGGAGGATATAGGGACACGCGTGGGGGGGCGGAGGGGATCCCTCTGCGGGGCCTCTCCGCCCCTACACAGTCAGCAGCTCCTCCCAGCTCAGTGTCAGCCACAAACACGCAGGTTTCCTTCCCATCCCATAGCCAGGTCGTTTATGGGATCACTGGCCCCAAAATGGAGCCCCACTGGTGCCTGGCCACCAGCCTAACGCCACCCCATTTACCAGGCCCCTCAGAGCCTGACCCCTCAGCCAACTGTTCACCCATCGCGTTGTGAATTCCTTGTAGCATTTTTCAGATGGATAGGGTCAGAAACCACGTTGAAATCTACTGAAACCCCAAAAAATCACCTCAGCTGGCTCCCCTTGGTCAACTACATGGGTGAAAATTAAGGAAATTAAGTTTGTCAAACTGGATTTTCCCCTCACATTGGCCACGACCAATGACTGTGCTGTTTTCCGGGCATTTTCTCTAACTCCCAAAATAATTTTCTCCATAATATTAGGAGGCAAAAAAAAAAAAGTGGGGCTGAGGCTTGTAATTACTGGCTCTTAATGCTTATTTGTGGAGATTTTGGGGACCAGGGGGCCACCTGAGGGAGATTTGGGATCCAATGAACGCCTGAGGGGACTTTAGGGACCAACCATCTCCTGAGGGGATTTTAGGGACCAAGGATCATCTGAGGGGACTTTAGGGACTGCAGGCCACCTGAAGGAGGTTTAGAAACAGTCACCTGAGGGGAATTTGGGGACCAAGGATCATCTGAGGGGACTTTGGGGACCACATGCCAACTGAGGGGACTTCAGGGACCAACAATGGATCTCCTGAGGTGACTTTACAGATGAACAGCTGCCTGAGAGGATTTTGGGGACCAGGGGCCACCTGAGGGGACTTTAGGGACCAGGGGTCACCTGAGGAGACTTTAGGGACCAGGGGTCACCTGAGGAGACTTTGGGGACCAAGGAACATCTGAGGGGACTTTGGGGACCAGGGGCCACCTGAGGGGGTTTTAGGGACTAATGAACACCTGAGGGGACTTTGGGTACTAATGAACACCTGAGGAGACTTTGGGGACCAAGGAACATCTGAGGTGACTTTGGGGACCAGGGGCCACCTGAGGTGAGTTCGGGTACTAATGAGCACCTGAGGGGACTTTGAGGACCAACACCTGAGGGGACTTTGGGGATCAATGAACACCTGAGGGGGCTTTGGGGACCAAGGAACATCTGAGGTGACTTTGGGGACCAGGTGCCACCTGAGGCGACTTTGGGGACTGGTGAACACCTGAGGGGAATTTGGGGACCAAGGGTCATCCAAGGCGACTTTGGGGACCACCGAACACCTGAGGGGACTTTGGGGACCAGAAGCCACCCGCGGCCCCCCCCGCCGCCTCCGCGCCCCCTCGGGGCCAGCAGGGGGCGGCTGCGGACGGGCGGCGCCGCGGGGGCTGCCGGGGCCGGGGCGGGTGGGGCCGAGCCGCTGCGGGGGGGGGGGTCCCGGTCCCGATCCCGGTCCCGATCCCGGTCCCGATCCCGGTCCCTGTCCCCGTGTCACCGCCGGGATGTTCTTCACGTGCGGCCCCAACGAGGCCATGGTGGTGTCGGGTGAGTCGGGGACCCCCCCCATCCCCCCCCGCTCCCCGCACCGGGGGTGTGTGGGGGGGGTCCCGGGGCTTACCCCGTGCCCCCTCGTCCCGCAGGTTTCTGCCGCAGCCCCCCCGTGATGGTGGCCGGGGGCCGGGTGCTGGTGGTGCCGTGTCTGCAGCAGATCCAGCGGTGACATGGGGGGGCGTGAGGGGGGGGCTGGTGGGGGGGTATGGGGGGATGTGGGGGGACGGGAGGGGTATGGGGGGCATGGGGGGGCAAGGAGGGGGCATGGGACAAGGGGGTGGCATGGGGGGATGTGGGGAGACAGGTGGGGTCTGGGGCCATGGGGGGCAAGGGGGTGGCATGGGGGGACATAAGGGGACAAGGGGGCGGTATGGGGGGATGTGGGGGGACAGGAGGGGTATGGGGGGCAAAGAGGGGGCATGGGACAAGGGAGTGGCATAGGGTGACAAGGGGGTGGCATGGGGGGATGTGGGGGGACAGGAGGGGTCTGGGGGCCATGGGGGGGCAAGGGGGTGGCATGGGGGGACAATGAGGGGGCATGGGATGAAGGAGTGGCATGGGGGGATGTGAGGGGACAGGAGGGGTATGGGGGGCATGGGGGGGCAAGGGGGTGGCAGCAGGGGACAAGGGAGTGGCATGGGGTGACAAGGGATGGCATGGGGGGGAATAAGGAGGTGACAGAGGATAAGGGGGTGGCATGGGATGACATGAGGGGCACGGGGGTGGCATGGGGGGGACAAGGGGGTGCCGTGGGGGTGACCTGTCCCCTCCCTTGCCCCCTCCCCAGGATCTCCCTCAACACCCTGACCCTCAACGTGCGCAGTGAGAAGGTGTACACCCGCCACGGCGTCCCCATCTCTGTCACTGGCATCGCCCAGGTACCCCCCTGCCCCCCCCCGTGCCCCCCACCCGTTGTCCCCACAGCTGTCACCTCCCCCCGCCCCCCAGGTCCCCAGGGGGCACCGGTGCAGCCCCTTTTAAGAGGGGTCCCGCAGTGGGCCCCACCTGGAGCTGCTGGTGGGGGGGGGGGGGGGGGCTCTTAAAAGGGCAGTGTCATGCTGCAGTGGTTGGGGGGGGGGGGGAGAATGGGAGGGGGAGGGCAGCAACATTGCCTTAAAGCGGCCCTGTTGAGGTGGGCCCCACCCGAAGGAGCGCATCCTCTTAAAAGGGCACTGCTGTGGGTAGCCCCCGTGTGGGGTTTGTTGAAGGGGCGACGATGAGGTTAAAAAGGGGGTTTTGGGGTGGGCAAAAACCCCACGTGCAGGGGCTGTTCTCTGAAAAGAGCCTCTCCAAACCCTTGGTTATCGGGGGGAATAACGCTCTGGGGACCCCTGCGGGACGCTGCAGCTTCCCTTTTTGGGGGGCAGGTGAAGATCCAGGGGCAGAACAAGGAGATGCTGGCGGCTGCCTGCCAGATGTTCCTGGGCAAGTCGGAGAGCGAGATCGCCCAGATCGCCCTGGAGACCCTGGAGGGCCACCAGCGCGCCATCATGGCCCACATGACCGTGGAGGTGAGCGGGGGATAGGGGGGGAAGCCACGCCCCTATGGCCAGAGCCATGCCCCTTTAAAAGCCACACCCCCATAAGCCCCGCCTCTTTTCCCAAGCCCCACCCCCTGCCATAATCCCCGCCCTCAAAGAAGCCCTGCCCATGCCCCACCCCCTAACGGGTGCCACACCCACATAGGCTCCACCCCCTGGTGCCACACCCTTTTGCAAGACCACGCCCCCCTGACCCCACCCACCCAAGCCCCGCCCCTGATGTCCCCCAGGAGATCTACAAGGACCGGCAGAAGTTTTCGGAGCAGGTTTTCAACGTGGCCTCGTCCGACCTGGTCAACATGGGGATCAGCGTGGTCAGCTACACCCTGAAGGACATCCACGATGACCAGGTGGCACTGCGGGGGGACAGGAGGGGACACAGAGGGGACACGGGTGGCACCGGAGCTAGCTGTGCCCCTGCGGTAACCGGGTGGCGTCGGGGACGCAGGGTGACATGGGGACCAGGGTCACCAGGGTGACACGGGGACTGGGTGACACGGGTGACGCAGGGTGGATCGGGGCAATGACCCTGTCCCCGTGTCCCCTGTCCCCAGGATTACCTGCACTCGCTGGGGAAGGGCCGCACGGCGCAGGTGCAGCGTGATGCCCGCGTGGGGGAGGCCGAGGCCAAGCGGGACGCCGGCATCCGCGTGAGTCCTTCGTCTTTGTTCCCCCCCCCCCCAGGACCCCCACTGCCCCGTCACGTCCCCGCATGTGCCCACGTACCCCTGTTTCATCACTGAGGTCACCGTGTCCCCTCACAGCGTGCTGGTGCCACCCCTGTTGTCCCCCCCCCCCATGCCCCTAAGGTCACCAGGTTGTCTCTGCGCTCCCCCTGTAACATCCCCACCCCATTTTCCTGACGTTCCCCCCTATCCTTTGGGGTCCTCTGCTGTCTCCATGTCCTTTTGTCCCCTGGTTTCCCCACCACCCTGCAGTGTCCCCGTCCCCCTCCAATCCCACAGTGTCCCCATGTCCCCCTTTTGTCCCCCAGCACCCCCATCTCCGCACACAACACCCCCACACTCCCCCTCCATCATGTAGCATGCCCCCCATCACCCACCTGGTGTCCCCACGTGTCCCCCCGTGTCCCTGCAGGAGGCGCGGGCGCGCCAGGAGCAGGTTTCGGCGCAGCTGCTGAGCGAGACGGCGATGGCGCAGGCCCAGCGGGACTTCCAGGTGCAGCAGGCGCTCTGCGACGCCGCCGTCAACGCCCGCAAGGCCCAGGCCGACCTGGCCTACCAGCTGCAGGTACGCTGGTCCCCCTCTCTGGGATGTTTGGGACCCCCCTGAGGACACTTGAGACACCCCCAGAACACCTGGGTCCCTCCTGGGCACCTGGGATCCCCCTGGGCACCTCGGTCCTCTCTGTTTCTTGCCCCTTCAAAACACCTGGGACCCCCCCCCACACACCTGGGTCCCTCAGCTGGGATGTTTGGGACCACCCAGGGACGCCTGGACCCCTTTAGACCCCCTTTGGTCCCCAGGGATTCCTACAGTCCCTAGGATGCCCAGGGCCCCCGTCCCCGCCAGGTTTTGGCACAGGGCTGATGTGTGCTGCGGGCGCAGGTGGCGAGGACGAAGCAGCAGATCGAGGAGCAGCGGGCGCAGGTGCTGGTGGTGGAGCGGGCACAGCAGGCGCAGCTGCAGGAGCACGAGATCGGGCGCCGCGAGCGCGAGCTGGAGGCCACCGTCCGCAAACCCGCCGAGGCCGAGCGCTATCGCCTGGAGCGGCTGGCTGAGGCTGAGCGGTGAGCCCGTCCCCATCCCCTTCCCCTTTTCCCTTCCCCATCCCCATCCCCATCCCCCTCCCCTTCTCCATCACCGTCCCATCCCCATCCCCGTCCAGCCCCATATGGGCGGCCCCACAACTAGAGTGAGAACCGTGCCTTTAAGCTCTTTCCCCTTTAAATATCAAGCCTATCTGGTGGGCCCCCACAGCGTGGCGAAGCCGTGCCCTCTTTAAGAGCAGTTCTGCGACTTGAAAATCCCTCGAAAAACTCAACCAGCCGAATTTTGCTTTTTTCGGTGGCTCCTCTTGCAGTGGGGCCATCACCCTTTTAAGGGAGGCATTGCCCCTTTAATACAAAGCCCGCCCCTTCCTCAGGCCACACCCCTTTGTACCAACAGCCCCGCCCCCCGTGAAGCCCCGCCCTCTTTCCCGAGAGCCTTTAAAAAGGGGTGGTGGGCCCCACCACTATGCCCATTTTAAGGGAGGTGGTGCCCTTTTAAATGAGAGCCACGCCCATTCATTCGAGCCACGCCCATTCATTCGAGCCACGCCCATTCATTCAAGCCACGCCCATTCATTCAATGTCCATTCCCCCAAGCCACGCCCATTCCCCAAGCCACGCCCCTTTCTACCACCCTTATGCCTGGCACCCCCTTGCACTCCACCCCCTCCGTGAGGCCACGCCCCCTCCATAAGCCCCGCCCCCTCCAAGTCACGCCCCCCTCGAGGCTCCGCCCCCTTTCCAAGCCCCGCCCCTCCACAGGTTGCAGGTGATGACCCAGGCGGAGGCGGAGGCGGAGGCCATGCGGGTGAGTCGAGGCCCCCAAAGGCCGGGGCTGAGTTTTGGGGGGTTTTGGGACAAAACCAGGGGTCCCTAGCCCTGGGGGGTGTCCCCAGAGCCCCCTGGGGACTCGGACGTCCCCTGCAGGTGACGGGAGCGGCGCGGGCGGCAGCGGTGGCCGCCCGGGCGCGGGCGGAGGCGGCGCAGACGGAGGCCAAGGCTGAGGCTTTCGGGCAGTTCCGCGAGGCCGCCGTGGTCGATATGGTGCTGCAGAGGCTGCCCCAGGTGAGAGGGGGGCCCTGGGGGGTGTCCCAAAGGGTTTGGGGTCTCTGCTATGGGGTGGGGGTGGTTTGGGAGGTCCTAGGGGGGATTTGGGGTCCCCTTGAGGTGTTTGGGGGTCTCCAAGGTGGCGTTTGGGGGTGAACATTGGGTTTTTGGGGGGGGTTGCGTGGGGGTTTTGGGGTCTCCCCGAGTGGACTTTGAGGATTTGGGGTCTCTTCTATGGGGTGGGGGTGGTTTATGGGGTCGGGGGGGGGATTTGGGCACCCCATGAGGTGTTTGGGGGTCTCAAGATGGAGTCTCAGGGGTATACATGGGATACTTGCGGGTTGTGGGGGGGTGGTTTTGGGGTTCCCTCCAATGGTTTTTGAGGATTTGGGGTCTCTTCTATGGGGTGGGGATGGTTTGTGGGGTCTTCAGGGGGAATTTGGGGTCCCCGTGAGGTGTCTGGGGGTCTCAAAGGGGGCGTTTAGGGGTGAATATTAGGTTTTTGGGGGGTTGTGTGAGGGTTTTGGGGTCTCCCCCAGTGGATTTTGAGGATTTGGGGTCTCTTCTATAGGGTGGGGGTGGTTTGGGGTGTTCTCAGGGGGGATTTGGGGTCTCCATGAGGTGTTTTGGGGTCTCAAGAGGGAGTCTCAGGGGTACACATGGGATATTTGGGGGTTGTATGGGGAGTATTGGGGTTCCCTCCAATGGATTTTGAGGATTTGGGGCACAAAGGGGCAAATCTGGGGTGAGATGAGGTGATTTGGGGACAGGCAAGTGGGCAGGGGGATTCATGGTTATGTGTGGTGGGTTTTGGGGTGAAACCCAAGGGATTTAGGGCAGTGGTCAGTTGGTGAGTGGCCAGGGAGGGACTAAGCATTGCCGCAGTGAATTTTGGGGTGAAACAAGAGGAATTTGGGCAAGGCGCCAGAAACCACCAGGTTTGAGAGCATTTGGGGGGCGACCTACCTGGATTATGGGGCCGAAACTGGCAGGATTTGGGACAGCAAGATTTGTGGGAAGGGAACGAGGTGCCACAGGCAGATTTTGGGCTGAAACCCTGCCTTTTTGGGCCAGGTGGCGGAGGCGGTGGCTCAGCCGCTGCTGGGGACGCGCCGGGTGACGCTGGTGGCCGGTGGCTCCGGGGACATCGGGGTGTCGCGGCTCCCCGGCGAGATCCTGGACGTCGTCACCCGCCTGCCCGCCGCCGTCGAGGCCCTGACAGGCGTCAGCGTCACCCAGGTCTGGGGGTGACACCAGGGGGGTGACATCGGGGTCCCTGGGGGGGTTTGGGGACAGCCGTGTCCCCTCCTCACTTGTCCCTGCTCTGTCCTCCGCAGGCTGCCCAGAAGAAGTCCGACTGCGTGGCCTGAGGCGGTGCCACCGGGTCCCCAAGGTGTCCCCAAGGTGCCACCACCCCCTGGAGCCTCCACGTCCTCCCCCGTGTCCCCTTCTGTCACCCAAGTGCCACCACGTCCCCATGGAGCCACCGCCCCGTGGTGCTGCCGTGGCCCCCAAAGTGCCACCAACCCCTCCCCAAGTGCCACCTCGTGTCCCCCCCGCCCCTTCGGGGGGTCCCCGGGGTGGGGGACACGTCCCAACATGTGTCCCCATGTGTGTCCCAATGTCATTAAAAGCTGTCGCATCTGCAGCCTGTGGCTGTTTTGGGGTGCCCTGGGGTCTTTTTGGGGTTTTGGGGGGGATTTGAGGACCCCAAAAGGGACGCGAGTGGCCCCAAAAGGGACAGGAAGGGCTTTGGGGGGGGGCGACCCTCAAGGGGATGTGGTGGGGACAGGGGACATGAGCGGCCCTATAAGGGACAGGGGGACCCTTGTAGGGACAGATGTGACACAGGAGACCCCCCCCCACGGGACAGAAATGGGCTTCAGGGGACTTCAGAAGGGACACAGGGACCCCAAAATAACCCTGGGAGACCCCGGTGGGGACATGGGGACACCGAGACCCCCCCCCCCCCGCCTTGTCCCCCACCCCAGAGACACGACAAGGGACATGGCAGGTGGCTTTGCATCCCGGGTTTATTCCTCGCCCGGGGGCGGCTTTTCAATATGAAAAAAAAAAAAAAGCTTAAAAAGGGGAAAAAAAAAAATAAAATGGGATGGATTCGGGGGAAAAAGGGACACGGAGGGGACAGGAGAGCCCTCAGCCAGGGACACGGCGGGGACAGGGCCACCCTGGAAACCCCCTGCAGCCGGGGAAGTGGTTTTGGGGAAAGAAGGGGGCAAATTGGTTGCCCGGGGAGGGGGAGCTGCAATAATTTAGTGGTGCCGTCACCCCCCCCCCCCCCCCCGGCGAGGGGGGGATGTGGGGACAACGAGGGGGACACGGAGGGGCTGGTGGCTCGGCGGTGATGGTGCCAACGGCGATGATGACTGATGCCCGGTGAGGGATGAGGGTTTTGGAGGAACGAGGGGGGCTCTGGGGGCCACCTGATGGTGGAGGATGAGGATGATGAGGCCGAAGGCTGCTCCGAAGCCAGGGGCTCCCTGCGGGCAACGATGAAGGCTGAAGGTCTCCGAGGATGACGACGATGACGGCCGAGGGCTTGGCGGTGACAACGGTGAAGGCTGAAGGTCTCCGAGGAAGAGGATGATGAAGGCCGAGGGCTCTCCGAGGACGACGCTGAAGGACGAGGGCTCTCCGAGGACGACGCTGACGGTGGCAATGGTGACGGACGAGGGCACTCCGAGGACGATGAGCGGAGGCCGCCCCCCCTTTTTAGGTCTCCTCTTCAGCCTCTTCGCCGAAGTCCTCCTCCTCCTCGGCGGTGGCGTCCTGGTACTGCTGGTACTCGGACACCAGGTCGTTCATGTTGCTCTCGGCCTCGGTGAACTCCATCTCGTCCATGCCCTCGCCCGTGTACCAGTGCAGGAAGGCCTTGCGGCGGAACATGGCCGTGAACTGCTCCGAGATGCGCTTGAAGAGCTCCTGGATGGCCGTGCTGTTGCCGATGAAGGTGACGGCCATCTTCAGCCCGCGGGGGGGGATGTCGCAGACGGCCGTCTTGACGTTGTTGGGGATCCACTCGACGAAGTAGGAGCTGTTCTTGTTCTGCACGTTCAGCATCTGCTCGTCCACCTCCTTCATGGACATGCGGCCGCGGAAGACGGCGGCCACGGTGAGGTAGCGGCCGTGGCGCGGGTCGCAGGCGGCCATCATGTTCTTGGCGTCAAAGACCTGCTGGGTGAGCTCGGGGACGGTGAGGGCGCGGTACTGCTGGGAGCCGCGGGACGTCAGCGGGGCGAAGCCGGGCATGAAGAAGTGGAGGCGAGGGAAGGGCACCATGTTGACCGCCAGCTTGCGCAGGTCGGCGTTCAGCTGCCCGGGGAAGCGCAGGCAGGTGGTGACGCCGCTCATGGTGGCCGAGACGAGGTGGTTGAGGTCGCCGTAGGTGGGGGTGGTGAGCTTGAGGGTGCGGAAGCAGATGTCGTAGAGCGCCTCGTTGTCGATGCAGTAGGTCTCGTCCGTGTTCTCCACCAGCTGGTGGACCGACAGGGTGGCGTTGTAGGGCTCCACCACCGTGTCCGACACCTTGGGGGACGGGACGACGCTGAAGGTGTTCATGATGCGGTCGGGGTACTCCTCGCGGATTTTGGAGATCAGGAGGGTGCCCATGCCCGAGCCGGTGCCGCCGCCCAGCGAGTGGGTGAGCTGGAAGCCCTGCAGGCAGTCGCAGCTCTCCGCCTCCTTCCGCACCACGTCCAGGACCGAGTCCACCAGCTCGGCCCCTTCCGTGTAGTGGCCCTTGGCCCAGTTGTTGCCCGCGCCGCTCTGGCCTGGGGTGGGAGAAGTGTCACGGAGAGGCTCCTTGGGGCCCCTCAATCCCACCACTGGGGTGCTTCAGAAGGGCTTTGGGGACCTCGATGCCACCCCACCACCTTCCCCAGGGACCCTGAGCTCTTTGGGGACCTCCCACTGATCCCCGTCCCACCCTTGAGGACATCTGCCACCTTCTTGGAAGGCCTTCAGACCAGCCCTGGGGACAACCAAGCATCGTGGGGACACCCATTGGTCCTCGTTGTCTGCACTTGGAGCTCCTTGAGGACCTCGGTCACCTTCCTTGGGGACCCTCGGCTTTTTTGGGGACCACCACCTCTCCCCCTGGAGCACCCCAGGAACCTGTTCCTCTCGAAGACCTGAAACTTGAAGACCTGAATCTCCCCTTGAACCTCATTCACCCTAAATTGGGGACCTCCAGCACCCCAAGGACCCTCACCCGCACCCCTTTGGGACCACCCTAAGAGGACACCCGGGGACCCAACGAGGTCGGGGACTCACCGAAAACGAAGTTGTCCGGCCTGAAGATCTGCCCGAAGGGTCCCGAGCGCACCGAGTCCATGGTGCCTGGCTCCAGGTCCACCAAGATGGCTCTTGGCACGTACTTACCCCCTGGGGACATCACCGTGTCACCGGGGGGGGCGTGGGTGACGGTGCCACCACCACATCACCCCCCCATAAACCCCCAAAACCCTCCCAAAACCCCCAGAAACCACCCCAAAACCCCCAGAGGTGGACAAGGACAAGGAGGGGGGAAGGTGACGAGGACACAGGGGGTGATGGGGATATTTGGGGGTGATGGGGACACCCGGGTGACATCGGGGTGGTGGCACCGTACCGGTGGCTTCATTGTAGTAGACACTGATGCGGTCGAGCTGGAGGTCGCTGTCGCCGTGGTAGGTGCCGGTGGGGTCGATGCCGTGCTCGTCGCTGATCACCTCCCAAAACTGGAGAAAAGGGGGGAGGTCAGAAAGGCTCCGCCCCCTCCAGAAGGGGGCGGAGCCAAGCCAAGGACCAGCCCTGGGGGCGGAGCCAAAGCCAAAAACACGGTGGGGGCGGGGCTCTGCCCAAAAGGGGCGCAGCCAACTCGAAGGGGGCATGGCTTCAGCAACCCGCAGGGGCGGGGCCAAATTTGGGCGTAGCCCCTCCCTAAACTCCCCCCAAAAAAACGGCCAGGGCGGGAACCGGAAACGGCGTTTGAATTGCGGAGGCGCCTCCAAAAAATGTTAATTTCGGAGATACCCCCAAAATCACCTTTCCTCGCCCCAAAACCTCCACTCTCTTCCTTAAGGCAAAAGGGATTTACGGAATTGCCGTTTTTTCCTCCTTAAACGGGCTCTGGCTGGGTGGGGTGCCTGGAACAAAAGGTGGGGGAGGGGCTGGCACCCTGGGGACCCCCCCCCAAGGTCATGGGGGGGGGGGGCTCAGCCACGCCCTGGGGGTGAAAAAAGGCCAAAACACTGCTATTTGGGGCTGACAGTGGAAGAATTGCTTCTAAATGCCATTTTGGGCTTAAAAACATCATTCTGGAAACTCGAAGCCTCCATTTATAGGTTTTCGATGGACTGTAATTTCTCCAGTTTTAAAATTACAGTTTCTGGGCAAAATGCATGTTTTGGGGCTGAGAACGCGCATTCTGCGGGTAAAAAAAATTAATTACAGGCTGAAATTGCCCATTTTGGAGGAAAAAGAGTGAATTCACGGCATGTAAAACTCTCCTGGGGGTGAAAAGCACTTTTTAGGGACAAAAAGTCTGTATTTCGGGGATGTTCAAAAACTAATTACAGAGAGCAAAATCCTGTTTTGGGGTTAAATATTGATATTACGGGTCTGGAAACACAATTGTGGAGCAGAAACGCTTTTTGGGGATTTAAAAACTTGCTTTTAGTCATTCTCGAGAACAAAGACCCCATTCTGCGGCTGAAAACCTCCATTTTGGGGTTTGAAAACCATCTGGGTGCACAAAGATCCTGTTCTGGGGCTGAAAGCATCCATTTTGAGATCAAAATTGCCATTTGGGAGGGGAATTCCCCATTTTGGGGCTTGAAAAAAAAAAAAAAACAACAGCACAATCATTTTCAGGCTGAAATGATGTTTAGGTGTAAAAAAGCCCTATTGTGCATGTAAAAAACCCTATTGCCGCACATAAAGAGCATATTCTGGGGCAAAAACATTCATTCTAGAGCTAAAAGAGCATCATTTTTCAGCAAAAAGCCCCTCATTCGGGGTTAAAAACCTCCTGTTTTAAGCTAAATCCCATAAACTGCGGCAGAAAAACTGCATTTGAGAGCACAAAGATGCTTCTCCTGCGCCGAGAACCTCCATTTTAGGGGTGGAAACCTCCATTTTGGGGGCCAAAACCCTGGATTTTAGCTTTAAAGGAAAACTGAAAAAGCATCTCCAGCTGAAAAATAAAATTGGGGCGAAAAAATTCCTTTTCGTTGGTATCTTAAAGAACAAATTGGGAGCAAATAAAGCCCATTTTGGAGGCTGAAAAATCATTTTTCAGGGAACAAAGATCTTACTCCGAGGCTGCAAACCTCCATTTTGGGGCTAGAAACTCCCTTTGGAGCCAAAAAGCTTTCATAGTGGTGGAAAAAAAACACATTTTGGGGAGAAGAAAACCTTATCAGGGTTTAAAAATCTCTTATTAGGTTCAGAATCCTTTTTTTTGGAGCAGAAAACCCCATTTTAGTGCTGAAAATTCCCTTCTGGGGAACAAAGCTCTTCGTTTGAGGCTGAAAATATTCATCTGGGGGCAGGAAAATGCAGCTTTTGAGGCCCAAAACCTAAAATTCTGAGTTAAAACTCCTTTATTTTGGGGCCACTAAAAAATATTTAAGGGCTTAAAGGAAAAAAATCACAATTTTGGGTACAAATATCCCAAAGGAGGCGTTTTTAAGGCTCCTCAGACGCGGCACGCCCCTCTGGGTGCCGAAAACCTCCAGTTTGGGCTCAGAAACCCCCTTTTTGGGTTGGATCCCCCCCAATCGGGGGCTGAACGCATCGTGGGCGGCACGCCCCATTTTGGGGGTGGATTTTTTCGTTTTGGGGGTGAATTTTTTCGTTTTGGAGCACAAAAACGCCAATTTTTGGGGGGGAAACGCCCGTTTTGATGCTTATTTAACTCATTCTGGGCTACAAAAAGAGCGATTTTTAGAACAAAGTCGGCATTCTGGGGGGGTGAAAACGCGTATGAGGGGGCGGGATGCAACGATTCTGAGGCTTAAAAAAATAAAAGCAAATGAATTTGGGGATTAAAAATGGAATTTTAAGATATAGGGGGGAAAAAAAAAAAAAAACAACACTTTTTTTTGTGTGAAAAATCTCTACTTTAGCACCGAAATCCTGTAACTTGGGGTGAATTTTATTCTTTAACAAATAAAACTGGGGGGATTTTGAGGCGGGTGTCGCCAGGGGAGGGGCAAACCGAGGCGGTTTTGGGGACAAAAGGCGCCGATTCGGGGCCGCGGCGCTGAGGCGCGAAGCCGCCATCTTGGGGCCGCGTGAGCCGGAGGGGGGGGGGGGAGGGGCGGGGAGCCCCCATTTTGAGGCCGGAAACCTCCATTTTGGGGCCCGGCCGCTCCATTTCGACGCCGAGCCCTCCCCCCCCCCCCGCCACGTCGGGGCCGCGCCCGCCGAGCCGAACGGGGCGAGTTTTGGGGCGAAATCGCCCCGATTCGGGTCCGCCTTTGTCTGCGCGGGGAGGGGGAGGGGCTTCTTAAAAGGGGCCGCGCCACCGAGAGGGAATAAAAGGGGTGGGGGGGGGGGGTCCACCCCCGGGGCCCGCCGCCGCCCGCCCGCTGTTCACCTTGGCCCCGATCTGGTTGCCGCATTGTCCCGCCTGGATGTGCACGATCTCCCTCATGGCGGCGGTAGGCGCAGGGCTGGGCGCTGTGACGGTGCCGGAGCTGTGGGCCCCCCCCCCTCCGGTCCTGCTGGGCTGTTCGGTGGCGCGGCCCCTTTAAGGCGAGAGCGCTATCGCGAGCGCGGCGGCGGCGACAATGGCGGCTCCCGCGGCCCCGCGGCGCCTCATATAGACAAAGCGGCGGCGGCCGGCCCCGCGCTCCCATTGGTCGGCGCCGCCCGTCTGCCGCGCTCCCATTGGACGGCGCGCCAGACGCCCCGCCCCTCCCTGCCGTTAGCCCCGCCCACCTCCTTTTATGTCCCGGCGTGGGCGCTCTGCAATCCCCTCTCTATGGTAGCACCCCCGCCCCTCTCGGAGGACCTCCACCGCCCTCCTCTCTATGCTCCGCGCCGGACGGAGCCAATGGGAGCGGGCGGTGGGCGGGGCCTCGGGGCGGCGGCGGCCAATGGGGATGAAGGGGCGGGGCCTGGAGGCGGTGGCGCGGGAGGGGTGAGCGCGGGGCCCCTTGGCGGGATCGGCGGTGGGGGGACCCGGGGCGGGGGGGGCCTGAGGCTTTTGGGGGGGCTTTGGAGGGTCGTGGGGCAGCTGGGGGGGGGCTGTGGAGATTTTGGGGTTCCTTGGGGCAATTAATGGGTCCCCGGGGCAGTATGGGGGGGGCCTGGGGCAATAAAGCGCTCCCTGGGGCAATTGGGGGGGGCTCTGGGGCAATTAACGGGTCTCCGGGGCAGTATAGGTGGGCCCTGGGATAATTAAGGGTTCCCAGGGGAAAATTGGGGGGTGGCTGGGGCAATTAAGAGCTCCCTGGGACAGTTTGGGGGGGGTCTGGGGCAATTAACGGGTCTCCGGAGGCAATTTTGGGGGGGTCTGGGGCAATTAAGGGCACCCAGGGGCAATTTGGAGGGGGTCTGGGGCAATTAACGGGTCCCCAGGGTAGTATGGAGTGTGCCTGGGGCAATTAAAGGCTCCCTGGAGGCAATTTTTGGGGGGTCTGGGGCAATTAAGAGCTCCCCGGGGCAATTTGGAGGGGATCTGGGGCAATTAACCGGTTCCCGGGGTAGTATGGGGGGTCCCTGGGGCAATTAAGAGCTTCCCGGGACAATCTGGGGGGTTCCTGGGGCAATTTACAGGTCCCCAGGGAAGTCTGGGTGGGCCCTGGGGCAATTAAGGCATCTCCGGGGCAGTTTGGGGGGTTCCTGGGGCAGCTTCGGGAGTCTCTGGGTCAATTAACGGGTCCCTGGGGCAATTAAGGGCTCCCCGGGGCAGTCAGGGGGGTCCCCGGGGCAAATTGGATGGTCCTTGGGGCAATTACGGGGTCTCTGAGGCGATTTAGGGGATCCCTGGGGCAATTAAGGGGTCCCTGAGGCAATTTGAGGGGTCCCCGGGGCAGCTTGGGGGTGTCCCTGGGGCAATAAAGGGCTGCACGGGGCAGTTTGAGGGGTCCCTGGGGAAATTTGGAGGGCCCCTGGGGAAACTGAGGGGTCTCCGAGGCGATTTAGGGGATCCTTGGGGCATTTAAGAGGTCCCTGGGGCAGTTTGGGAGGAGCCTGGGGCAATTAACGGGTCCCTGGTGCAGTTAGAGGTCCTTGGGGCAGTTTAGGGGGGTCCAAGGGGCAGTTTAGGGGTCCCTGGGGAATTGAAAGGGGTCGTGGGGACAGTTGACAGGGTCCGGAGGATTTTAGGAACACCCTGGGGCAGTTGAGGGGGGGGTCTGGTGGCAGCTGGGGGGGTCCCTGGGGCAGTTGAGGAGGTCCGGGGGGGTTTAAGGAGCACCCTGGGGCAAATAGAGGGGTCCTTGGGGTAGCTGAGAAGGGTTGTGGGGCAGTTTAGGGGGTCCCCGGAGCAGGATAGGAGGGGGCTCAGGATCAGTTTGGGGAGCCCGGGGACAATTTGGGGGACCTCGGGGCAGCTGGGAGGGGGGCACGGGGCAGTTTTGGGGCCCTGAGGGCCTTTTGGGGCAATTTTGGGGGTTCCTGGGGCAGGATACAGAGCTGGGGGGGGGCAATTAGAAGGGGCAGATAAAAAGCGAGGGGGCAGGAGGAGGAGGATGGATGAAGTCGGGGGGGGGTCCTTTGGCCCCAGGGGGACAGCGGTGACCGAGGGGTGCTTGAGGGGGCCGGGGGGGGGCATGTAGGGTCTGGGGGGGGGGCAATTGTTTCCATGGGGCAGTTGTTGCTGCCCCCCAGGCCATGCAGCGAAGGCGCCACCGAGGCCTCGTCACCACGGGGGGCACAGGTAGGTCCCCGTCCCCCTCCCCAAATCATGAGGATTGGGTGCTGGGGGGGGGCTCCTGGACACCGGGGTCCTTATCAGGGGGGTGTCCAGCAGCCCCCACCCCCCAAAAAAAAACCCAAACCCACCTGGATCCCACAGGGCAGGGGCCGGAGCCGAGGCACCACCCCCCCGTCACCAGCGACTCGGAGGACGACGAGACGTGTGAGTGATCCCATCATGGGGGGGGGTCGTTTTGTTATTGTAGGGCCTACAGAAACTCAGGACCCCCCCAAAAAATATCTCAGGGTTTCTGTAGGCCCTATAATAACAATGTGTCCCCCTCCAGGCCCCGCCGCCGGCAGCACCACCTTGCCCCAAGTGGTGCCGGAGAGGTAGGTGGGACCCCCACCGGGGGCACCGGGGGGGGGCCGGACCCCTCGGTCCCCTCCTGCAGCCCCCCTACCCCAATATTTGCCCCCCCCCCCCCCCCCCCCCCCAGCGACCCGGAGGAGCCGGATGCCTGCTCAGAAATCCGCGTGCTCCGAAAACGCCGCCCGACCCCAAACCTGGGGCTCTGCATGGATTCGACCCCATCCCCCCTGGATCCGGATGTCGCGGGACCCAAAAAGCTCCGTTTGTGTCCCAAAACTCCCCCGGCTCCAGATGCGGGGAGCAAAACGGCCGTTTCGGGCGTTCGGCCCCAAAATCGCTCCCCAAACCCGAAAGGGCAGGTGGACCCAGATGTGAGGCAGCTGGGAGGCATTGAAAGTGACACAGACGACGAGGCGCACCCAAAATCTGCTCTTTTTCACCCTAACCGTCACCCGGCTGCCCCGGAGGTGAGCGGGGACCCAAATGTGGAGGAACGAGGCCCAAATCCGGGTGCTGGAGGGGCCCAAAATGGGCGTTGGATGCTCACGGTGGACAGCGACACGGACGTGGAGGAGGCTGACCTTCCTCTGTCTGTCCGACACCCAAAAATACGTCAAAAGGCCCAAAAGGTGCCCAAAACCCCCGGCGGGGAGATGAAGCCCCCGAATCCAGGTTCGAAAAACGGAATCCAGGCGCTGGTGGTGGACAGCGACACGGACGTGGAGGATGGCAGAGCAAATTTGGACGTTGGGCTGGCCAAAAGCCCTCAAACCACCGAAAACATCCCCAAAATAACGATGGAGAGCCCGCATCCAGCTGTGAAAGGCCCCCAAAAGGAGGAGGAACCGCTCACGACGGGCAGCGATACCGACGTGGAAGAGGACGGAGCAAACCCAAATGTTGTGCGCCTTCCAACCCCACAAATGACCCAAAGTGCGCCAAAAACCCCAAATATCGAGGTGGAGACCCCAAACCCGGGTGCTGACGGACGCCAAGAGGAGAAATGGGCTCTCGTGGTGGACAGCGACACGGATGTGGAGGAGGAGCCTTCTGATCCAGGAGGTGGGGATCCAAAATCGCGTCAAATAACCCAAAATGCACCGAGGAACCTCGAGGTGGGGATGGAGACCCCAAATCCACGCCCTGGAGAACCACAAAGAGGACACGAGATGCTCACAGTGGACAGCGATACAGATGTGGAGGAGGATGGGCTGAATCCAGGTGTTGGGTGTCCAAAAACCCATAGAATGGCCCCAAAACCCCACGATGACTCAGACGTAGCAATAAAGACCCCAAATCCTGACCTCAAAGGTCCCCAAAACAGAGGCCAGAACCTGGAGCTGGACAGCGACACAGATATAGAGGGAGAAGACCCGAACCCGGATATTCCCGGCCTGAGAAACCCCAAAACGCCCCAAAATGCCCAGAAGGACCCAACTGTGGTGATGGAAACCCCAAATCCAGACGTTGGTCGGGACCTCAACGTGGACAGAAATACCGGGGTCGAGGACAGCGGTGTGGTGACGGATTTTGGGGCAGTGCGAGGGGGACAGGGGACACCCGGTGATCCAGATGTGGGTCTGGCAACCCCAAATCCAGAAGTTTCCCCTCCCGTGACCCCCCAGAGTGGCAGCGACACCGACGTGGAGGAGGTGGCCCCCACCCCTTACGTCCAGAGCCTCCGGAGCAAAACCCGACCCCGAAATCCCGATGTGGACACCACGATGGGCAGTGAGACCGGTGTGGGGCTGACGGACCCCAAATGCCACAAACCAGCCCCAAAAAGGCAGGGTTTGCCCCCCGAATCACGCAGTGACGGAGATGTGGAAGGAGAGGTTCCAAAACAGCCGGATTTAGCCCCAAAGACAGACGCGGAGGACCTGAATCCGGAGGACGAGGTCCTACAACGCAACCCCCAGACCTCGGCGACGGGCGGCGATACGGATGTGGCGCCAGCTGGTCTGGCCCCTAAATCTCCAATTCCGGCCCCAAATCTGGGCCTTGGTGGCGATGCTGCCCGGGGATCCAGGAGTGCTGAGGCCACCCCTGGTGGGAACACGAGCGTGGAGGTGGCAGAGAGTGAAACTGAGGGTGAGTGGGGTGGCCTTGGCCGCCTGGGTCCCTTCCTTGGCCACCTTCACCCCTTTCTTGACCATCTTGGTGGCTCCTTGGTCCCTTGGGTCCCCTCCCTTGTCTATTTGGTTCCCTTGTCCCCATCCTTGGCCACCTGGGTCCCTTCCTTGGTCCTTTCGGTCCCTTGGCCACCTGGGTCCCTTCCTTGGCCACCTGGGTCCCCTTCCTTGGCTACCTGGGTCCCTTCCTCGGTTCTTCTGGTCCCCTTGTCCCCATCCTTGGCCACCTGGGTCCCTTCCTTGGCCACCTTCACCCCTTTCTTGGCCATCTTGGTGGCTCCTTGGTCCCTTGGGTCCCCTCCCTTGTGTGTTTGGTCCCTTTGTCCCCTTCATTGGCCACCTTCACCCCTTTATTGACCACATTGTCCTTTCTTTGGTCCCCTGGGTCTCTTTCTTGTTCCCCTGGGTCTCCTTCCTTGGTCCCCTTCCTTGGCCACCTGGGTCCCTTCCTTGGTCCTTTCGGTCCCTTGGCCACCTTCATCCCTTTATTGACCACGTGGGTTCTCTCTTTGGTCCCCTTGTCCCCATCCTTGGCCATCTGGGTCCCTTCCTTGGCCACCTTCACCCCTTTCTTGGCCATCTTGGTGGCTCCTTGGTCCCTTGGGTCCCCTCCCTTGTCTATTTGGTTCCCTTGTCCCCATCCTTGGCCACCTGGGTCCCTTCCTTGGCCACCTGGGTCCCTTCCTCGGCCACCTTTACCCCTTTCTTGGCCATCTTGGTCGCTCTGTGGTCCCTTGGGTCCTCTCCCTTGTCTGTTTGGTCCCCTGGGTCCCTTCCTTGGCCGCCTGGGTCCCTTCTCTGGTCCTTTTGGCCCCCTCCTTGGTCCCCTGGGTCCCCTCCTGGTCCCCTCCGGGTCCCCTGGGTCCCATCTCAAGGCTCTTCCCCCCACAGATGACCCCGACCTCTTCCTGGAGCCCACCCAGAACTTCTTGCCGCCACCGGTGACCGAAGGTAGGTGACCTTGGTGTTGTCCCCCTGGGGGTGGGGGGTGTCACCTCCCAGGTCCCCAACGTGGCTTTTTGGCAGATGCAGCCCTGGGCTGGGACCCTGAGGAGGCCACGCAGCTCTTCTGCCACCCCAAGCTGGAGGAGGAGGAGGAGGAGAAGGAGGAAGAAGAGGAGGAGAAGGAGGAAGAAGACGAGGAGGAGGAGGAGAAGAAGAAGGAGGAGGAAGAAGAGAAGAAGGAGAAGGAGAAAGAGAAGGAGGATGAAGAGGTGAAGAAGAAGAAGGAGGAGGAGGAGGAGGAGGAGGATGAAGAGGTGAAGAAGAAGGAGGAGGAGGAGGAAGAGCCCCCCCAGGACACCCCCGCCACCCGTGTCCCCCCAGCCGAGCCGGTGCTGGTGACCCCAGCCCAGGAGGAGGGAGCAGGGACCAGCGCAGCCCCCGGCGGTGCCGTGAGTGGGGTCGGGGTGGTCCCAAGCGACCCCCGGGGCACCCGGTGGGGTCCCCGCGGCCTTGGGGGGCTCCAGACCCTGATGACCCCTCCCCAAATCCCGCAGGTGACCCAGGGGCCCCGCCGCAGCCAGCGCCTGGCCCGGGGCCAGGGGGGCAGAGCCCCTGCAGGGGGCGGGGCCTCCGCGGTGGGCGGGGCCTCTGGAGGGGGCGGGGCCAGCCAGGTGAGGGGCGGGGCCAACCAGGCGAGGGGCGGGGCTCTGCCATGCCCCGCCCCCCCGCGCCGCAGCCCTCGCCTCCGGGCCCGCCCCCCCTCCCCTGCGGAGCCGCCGGCCAAGAAGGGGCGGGGCCAAGAGGAGCCACGCCCACCGCCCAGGACACGCCCCAAAAGGAGTGGCCACGCCCCCTCGCAGATAAGGGTGGGTGGAGCCTGATAGGGTGGAGTCTGGGTGGGGTCGTGTGGGCGGGGCCTAAAAGGGTGGGGTCGTGTGGGTGGAGTCTGATTGGGTGGGGTCGTGTAGGGGCGGAGCCTGATTGGGTGGGGTCCTGTGGGCGGAGCCTATGGGGTGTGGTCATCACTGGGGTGGGAGGGGCCAAAGCACGGGGGCGTGGTCAGGGTGGGAGGGGCTTCTGAGCAGGACGCAAGCCCCTCCCACTGGCTGCTGATTGGTGGGGAGAGGCGGGAGGTCGGGTGGGGGGTGGGGCTTGCTGGGGAGGGGGCGGGGCCTTGCACCATGGCTCCGCCCCCTCCCAGGAGGAGGAGGAGCCACCGGAGGGCGCCCGGGTCCAGCTCCGCCCTCGAGGAGGCGCCGGCTCCTCCAGCCCCAAGGTACGTGTGGGGGGGGTCCCCAAAATGTCCCCCAGAATGTCCCCAAGTCCCCCAAAACATCCGTGTCCCCTGAAATGTCCCCAAAATGTCCCCAAGTCCCCAAGAATGTCTCGGTGTCCCCCAAAATGTCCGTGTCCTCTGAAATGTCCCCAAAATGTTCCCCAAAATGTCCCCAAGTCACCCAGAATGTCCCCAAGTCCCCCAAAATGTCCGTGTCCCCCAAAATGTCCGTGTCCCCTGAAATGTCCCCCAAATGTCCCTGAGAATGTCCCCAAGTCCCCCCAAAATGTCCCCCAAAATGTCCCCAGAATGTCCCCCAGAAGGCCCCCAAGTCCCCAAAAACATCCGTGTCCCCTGAAATGTCCCCAAAATGTCCCCAAGTCCCCCAGGATGTCTTGGAGTCCCCCAAAATGTCCCTTTGTCCCCCCCCACAGTGTCCCCGTATCCCCCCCAGTATCCATCCACCCCCCCCAGGGTGCCCCCATGTCCCCCCCAAAATCCTTTAGGGGTGCCAGTGGTGTCCCCGTAGTGTCCCCAAACCATCCCAGTGTCCCCAACGTGTCCCCGGGTGCTCTTGACGGGGGCGGTGACCACCCCAAGGACGTCCCTGCGGTGTCCCCAGGTGCTGTTCACGGGGGTGGTGGCCTCCCCGGACATGGAGGTGGCCCTGGGCTCGCTGGGGGGGTCCATGGCCACCTCCGTCTTCGACTGCACCCACCTGGTGACCGACCGCGTCCGGCGCACCGTCAAGTTCCTCTGCGCGGTGGCACGGGGCATCCCCATCGTCACCCCCAAGTGGCTCCACGAGGTCCCCGGGGACGGGGAGAGGGTTTGGGGACAGGGAGGGGGCGGCTGGGGGGACATGAGGGTGCTGGGGGACAGAGCGTGGGGGGCTTGGGGACAAGGAGAGGGTGCTTGGGGACGCGGGGGGCTTGGGGGATGAGGAGGGGGTGTTTGGGGGCAGCGGGTCCTTGGGGTTGCGGGACAAAGGCTTTGGGGACAGGAATGAGGTCCTTGGGGACAACAGCAGGTCCTTGGGGACAGCGGGTCCTTGGGGACATGGTGTTTGGGGACATCAGAGGGTTGTTCCTCGGGGACACGGAGGTCCTTATGGATAAAAGGGGGTCGTTCTGGGGAACAGGGAAGGTTCCTGGGGATATGGGGGTGTCTTTAGGGGACAATAGTGTCACCGCGTTGTCCCCTGTCCCCAGAGTGCCCGCAGTGGCCGTGTGCTGGCCCCAGGGTCCTTCCTGGTGCGTGACAGCCAGCAGGAACGTCACTTCGGCTTCAGCTTGTCCCAGGCCCTCAGCCGTGCCCGCCGCCACCCCTTGCTCCAGGTGACCATCCCCAAGTGTCCCCGAGTGTCCCCAGGGGGCTCGGGGTGGGCCTGACGGCCGTGTCCCCTGGTGTCCCCAAGGGCTACGAGGTCCACGTCACCCCCAGCGTCCGCCCCGAGCCCGAGCAGATGCGGGACATCGTCACCTGCAGCGGTGGCACCTTCCTGCCCACCATGCCCTGCACCTACGGGGTGAGGGGACACTGGGGACCGGGGGGGGGGACATTGGGGTCCAGACCTGCTGGGGATTGGACCACGGGGACATTGGAGACCCAGGGTTACTGGGAGGGGACATTGGGGGGGACATTGGAGGTCTCAGAACCGCCAGGGGACATGGGGGGGAATTTGGGGTCTTGTTATGGGGAAGGGGTCCTGGGGGGGTCCCATTGGGGTTGAGGGATCCCGGGGGGGTCTGAGGGATCCCATTGGGGTTGAGGGGCCCTGGGGGAGCTGGGGGGGGCCACATAGGGGTTGAGGGATCCGGAGGGGGGCTGGGGGGATCCCATTGGGGTTGGGGGCTCCCAGGGGTCCTGGGAGAAGGGGGAATTTTGGGGGGGGAGTGTCCCAAAGTGGGGGTTGCACTGAGCACACGGGACCCTATTACCACCAACGGGCACCCGGGTGGGGACAACAAATCCCTCCCCATCTCAAACAACCCCAGGGGCTTTTGGGGGGGGTCCTGGTGATGCAGGGACCCCCCCCCTAATTCCTCCCCCCCCCCCCGGTGACACCCCCGCAGCCCCAGAGGCTGGTGATCTCCTGCGGGGAGGATTCGGGGTGCTGGGCGCCAGCGCTGAGCGCCCGCCTGCCCCTGGCCTCGGCCGAGCTCCTCCTCACCGGGCTCCTGCGGCAGCGCCTCCAGCTCCAGGACTTCCTCCTCGCCCCCCCGGACACCCCCCCAGGTCCCTCGGGGGTCCCCCAAGATCCCCCCCCAAAGTCCCCTCAACCTCCTCCGGCGTCCCCCCGGCGGCTCCGGGCCCCCCCCGCGGCGCAGGGCAGGACGCGGCGGCACCCACAACCCCGGAATAAATGAGATTTTGCACAAAAAAAAAACAAAAGAAATGGTGAAAAAAGTATGATTTGGTGGTTGGGGGGGTGGGAATGTGGGGGTGGCATCTCCCGGGGGGTCCCCACTGTCAATCAAGTTATCGTTTTTATCAATCTATTTATCATTTTATCACTTTTATCAATCGATTTATCATCATTTTCATCCATTTATCATTATCAACAATTTATCATTTTCAACAATTTATCATTTTCATCGATTTATCGTTTTCAACAAGCAATTTACCACTTCACTCTTTCAAACTATTTCATCACTATTTCAAACTTTTTCAAACTATTTCTCCTTTTTATTGATTTTTGTCCATCGGTTTCTCATTTTATCGCTCCACGTCCCGTTTTTTTAATCAATTTAATCAATCAATTTTTTGCCAATAAGGCACTAAAGGATGTGGCGCTAGGGGACGTGGCACTGGGGGACGTGGCACTAAGGGATTTGGCTCTAAGGGAGGTGGCACTGGGGGACGTGGCTCTAGGGGACATGGCTCAGCCTGGCCTTGGTGTCCTTGAAGGCCCCTTTTCCACCCAAAACGCTCCTGCTCCATGACCCATTGCCTTTGGGTGCCACCAAAGCCACCGTCCCCTACGCGAGCCCCGGTGGCAGCAGCCCCGGGAGGGCGGTGGTGGCATCTTGGCAGCGCCGGGCCAGGTCCGTGGCTTCGGCGGTGCCATCGGTGGTGCCACCGGTGGTCAGCAGCACGTGGACCACCTTCAGCATCCCCAGGAGGTGCTCCTGGGCCAGGCGGGCACTGGCGACCCACAGAGCCTCGGCCACCGCCACCGCCTCCGCCAGCCCTTTGGGGCTGCCCGCGTCCCCCTGCGTGGCCTCGGGGCCCACCATGGCCTCGATGTCCTTGAGGCGGCGCTGCAGGTGGCAGTAGTAGCGGTGGGCGCCGTCACAGGCCACCACCAGCTGCCCCAAAAGCTCACAGGCCACCGCCGCGCGCTGTCCCCACTCCTTGGCCTTCATCTTGTGCGCCACCACCACCGCCTCCTCCTCGGTGGCCTTGCTGGCCGCCTGCAGCCCCGCCTGGGCCCCCGCCAGCCGCGCGTCGTGGGCTTCCATCTTCTCGGCCGGCTCGGTGGGCTCCAAGGCCAGCGGCAGGAGGTGGGTGGCAGCCCGCAGATTCTTGCAGGCCTCGTCCTCCCGGGCAATCGCCTCCGCCAGCTTGCCCATGGCGGCCCCGGCGGTGGCCCCGGCGGTGGCCCCGGTTTCGGCGACCACCGCGCAGGCGTCCTTCAGGCCGGTGGCCTCCGCCTTCAGCTTGGCCCAGGCGGCCTCCACGGTGGCCACCGCCTTCAGCCAGCCGCTGACGGTGGCCACCGCGGTGGCCGCGGGGACACCGGGCCCTTCGGTGGCGGTGGTGGCCAGGGCTCGGCGCAGGCGGGCGGCCTCCCCATCGCGGTGGATCACGGCCTCGCGCACGCCGGCCCTGAAGGTGAGGAGGCCACCCCGCAGCGATTCCCACGGCTTGGCCAGGGGAATGTGCCCGCTGGTGGCCCCCAGCTTGCCCATGGTGGCCACCACGTCCACCAGCGGCTTCAGCAGCTCCGGGGACACCTGGGGACGGGATAAGGGGGACACCGTGGTCCTCATGGCCTCCCCGCTGTCCCCTGTCCCTGGGGGTGCTGGGGTGAAGGCACGGTGGCCCCAAGACACCCCCAGGGACAGCCGTGTCCCCAAGCGTTGGGACGTGGCCACCGTCGCCTGCTGTCCCTTGTCCCCTGGGTCACCCCCCCGTCCCCTGTCACCGCTCCCAACGTCACCCCCTGCCACCCTCTGTCCCCTTTCCCCCCCCCACGTCTCCCCAACCCTGCTGTCCCTCTGCCACCACCCTGTCCCCTTGTCCCCACGTCCCCTCATCCGCCCCGGACCTGGCCCCACCTCAGTGGGGCTGGTGGCCCCGGTGACATCCGACGTCCACATCGCGGGTGGCAGGGGGGTGACAACCCTCAGGGCCCCTCAGCTGGTCCAGGCGTCGCGTCTCAGGCTGGCTTGCCCCAAATTCCGCGTTTATCACAGATTTCAGTAAATCCCTGCTCATAAACACAGCTGGGCTTAATGGGAAAAGCCTGGAGACGGCAAAAATCTCAGAAATTATTCATAAAGCAAGCACGGAGGCACAAAAATCCCACAAATTGTTATTAACGCAAGCACCAAAGTACCAAAATCCCGCAAATTATTAATGAAGCAAGCACAGAGACACCAAAATCTAACAAATTATTAATAAAGTAAGCACAGAGGTACCAAAATCCCACAAATTATTAAAAAAGAAGTAACAGAGGCAGCAAAATCCTACAAATTATTAAAAACCAAACAAACAAAAAACCACAAGAGCAGAGGTACCAAAATCCCACAAATTATTAATAAAGCAATCCCAGAGACACCAAAATCCCAGAAATTATTAATAAATCCATCACAGAGGTACCAAAATCCCACAAATTATTAATAAAGCAAGGGCAGAAGTACCAAAATCTCCGAAATGATTAAAAAAGCAAGCACAGAGGTACCAAAATCCCATAAATGATTAATGAAGGACACACAGAGACACCAAAATCCCACAGATTATTACAAAGAAATCACAGAAATCCTGAAATCCCACAAATTATTAATAAAGCTATCACAGAGGTACCAAAATCCCAGATTTTCGGAAGTAGCAAAAATTAAGAATCCAGCAGCAAAAATATTTGAATTAAGCATGAAAACCCCACACCCGAGCCCGCCCCGTACATCCCAGGGAATTTAGGGTTTGTTTTGGGGTCGGGCACAGTACCGGGACCAGGGCCCTCAGAAATGATCAAATTGGGTGAAACGGACCCAAAACTGGGCCGGGGGAAGAAACGCGCAGGAGCCTCACCGCGGCTCCCGAAGGGAAAGAGAAAGTTCCCGGAGAGTGTTTTGGGTGGAAACGCGCGGATTTGGCGCACGCCCCAAGCGCTTGGCTCCCTTCCCCCAGCTGCCTTCCCGAGTTTTCCTCCGCCTGGGGCCGGGTTCTTCCTTTTGGGGGATTTTTTTTCCTTTTTTTTTTTTTTTTTTTTTTTTTTTTTTGTCGCTTTTTTGGACGCAGACGTTGTTGGGGGGGGTGGGGTTCCTGATTTGTCCCCAATTCCCCTGGGGGCCTCCGGGGTTCCCACGGGCGGTGGCAGGGGGGGACACTTGGGGACACGTGGGGCTGGGGATGCGGTGGCACTCGGATGTCCCCACGATGTTCCAAGCCCTCGATGTCCCCAACAACCCCCAATGTCCCCAATGTCCCCTGGTGTCCCCCAACAGCCCCCAATGTCCCCAATGTCCCCCAACAGCCCCCAATGTCCCCCACAGCCCCAGATGTCCCCAATGTCCCCCACAGCCCCAGATGTCCCCAATGTCCCCCAACAGCCCCCAATGTCCCCCACAGCCCCAGATGTCCCCAATGTCCCCCAACAGCCCCCAATGTCCCCCACAGCCCCAGATGTCCCCAATGTCCCCCAACAGCCCCCAATGTCCCCCGATGTCCCCCAACAGCCCCAGATGTCCCCAATGTCCCCCACAGCCCCAGATGTCCCCCAATGTCCCCCCCAACAGCCTCCAATGTCCCCAGTGTCCCCCGATGTCCCCGTCAGAGCCCCAAGGACCCCTCAGGATGTCCCCCTTGTGCCTCCCACAGCCCCCCCCGTTGCATCCCCAAATTGTCCCCTGAGGGCCCCGCTGTGTCCCCACCTTGTCCCCCACAGCCTGGGGACATCCAACGGGGGGATCCTGGAGGCTGTCGGGGACAATCCCGGCGGTGGGGACAATTCAAGGACACGTCCCCTTGTCCTCAAGGACGTCCCCACCCCCCCAAGTGACGAACCAGAGCCTGGGCGCACCCTTAAGCTTTATTTATTTATTGGGGCGAGGAGACAAAGGACAGTGCCACCCTCCCTGTCCCCAAAAGGCCACCTCAGAGTCCCCAAAAAGGACCAGGGGGACCCCAGGACGCCCCCGGGTGACACCGCTGTCCCCAAGGTCACCGGGGGGGCTACGGCTGCCCCACCACCTCCCCGGGCAGCACCCGCAGCGCCTCCGCCAGCCTCCGCGTCGCCTCCTCGTCCTGGGTCACCGTCCCCAAGGCCACCGCGGCTGTCCCCAAGGCGCGGGTGGTGGCGGGGAAGCCGCGGGCGTCCTGCAGGTCGTCCTCCAGTGCTCCCAGTAGCTGCCGCAACTGGTCGGCCACCTCCTCCAGCCTCCGTTGGGCCACCGAGACCTCCCATTTGTCTTGGGGACATTGGGGGGGGGGTGGCGTCGGCCAGGTGACGGTAACGGGTCAGTTGGTGACGTTGCTGGTCCAAGGCGGTGGCCAGGTGGTGGCCGGAGCGCTCGGAGGCCCAGGCGGCCACCTGGCACACCAGCAGGACGGTGGCCAGGCAGGGGACGAGGTGGCCCTCCTGTGTCACCCCCAGCGCCTCCCGCACCGCGTCGAAGGACACTGCGGGGACAAGGAGGGACGGGGGTGGCACCTGGTGGCGTTCCCGGGGTCACCGTCCCCAAATTGTGGCCTCTGGACCCCCTCCCAGTGCCCCCCAGTTCCCTCCCAGTGCCCCCAACCCCTCCCCAGTGTCCTCTTCCCAGTGTCCCTGTCCCCTCCCGGTGTCCCCATCCTGTCCCAGTGCTCCCATCCCCTCCCAGTATCCTCTTCCCAGTGTCCCCATCCCCTCCCAGTGTCCCTTGATCCCCTCCCAGTACCCTCTGGTTCACTCCCAGTGCCCCCAGTCCCCTCCCAGTGTCCCCATCCCCTTCCCAGTGTCCTCTTCCCAGTGTCCCTGTCCCATCCCGGTGTCCCCATCCTGTCCCAGTGTCCCCTGGTCCTCCTCCCAGTGCCCCCATCCCCTTCCCAGTGTCCTCTTCCCAGTGTCTCCGTCCTCTCCCAGTGCCCCCAGTTCCCTCCCAGTGTCCCCATCCCCTCCCCAGTATCCTCTTCCAGTGTCCCCATCCCCTCCCCAGTATCCTCTTCCCAGTGTCCCCATTCCCTCCCAGTGTCCCCATCCTCTTCCAGTGTCCCTTGATCCCCTCCCAGTACCCTCCGGCTCACTCCCAGTGCCCCCAGTCCCCTCCCAGTGTCCCCATCCCGTCCCGAGGTCCCCTGGTCCTCCTCCCAGTGCCCCCCAGTTCCCTCCCAGCGCCCCCATCCCCTTCCCAGTGTCCCTGTCCCATCCCAGTGTCCCCAGTCCCCCTGCCCTCCCACTATCCTTTGATCCCCTCCCAGTGTCCCTTGATCCCCTCCCAGTGGCCCCTGGTCCATACTGGGAGCACAGGAGAGTCTACACTGGTCTATACTGGAACTCCCTACTGGTCTATAGCAGTTCTTACTGGTCTGTAGGGCTCCTTGATGGTCTAAACCAGTCAGGGCAGGATAAAACCTAATGGTTCTTACTGGTCTGTACTGGTCCTTAGTAGTTTACGGTAGTTCCCGCTAACCTCTAGCGGTGTATACTGGTCTAAACTGGTCTGCAGGGCACCCGTACTGGTCCGTAATAGAAAAAGGGGGAAGAGCCTACTGGTTTGCAGGATTCCTTACTGGTCTGAACTGGTGCCTACTGGGCCATAGCGCTCTCCACCAGCACCAGTGAACCAAATGGACCTGAAGGACTCCCTGTTGGTCCCTTACTGGTTTGTACTGGTTCATACTGGTCCCTTACTGGCTTTTGCTGCTTTTTTACTGGACTCTACTGGTTCTTACTAACCTCTACCGTTTTTTACTGGTTTCTACGATTTCTTACTGGTTTCTACCAGTTCCTTACTGGCTTTTACTGCTTTTTTACTGGCCTCTACTGGATTTTACGAGCCTCTATTGTTTTTTACTGGTTTCTTACTGGTTCCTACTGCTTTTTTACTGGCCTCTACCAGCTTTTACTGTTTTTTTACTGGCCTCTACTGGATTTTATGAGCCTCTACCGTTTCTTACTGCTTTCTACGACTTCTTACTGCTTCCTACCAGTTCCTTACTGGCTTTTACTGCTTTTTTACTGGTTCCTTACTGGCTTTTACTGCTTTTTTATTGGCCTCTACTGGATTTTACGAACCTCTGCCATTTTTTACTGGTTCCTTACTGGCCTCTACTGGTTTTTACTAGCCTCTACCGTTTCTTATTGGTTTCTACGACTTCTTACTGGTTCCTACCAGTTCCTTACTGGTTCCTACTACTTTTTTACTGGCCTCTACTGGATTTTACTGCTTTTTTTACCAGCCTTTACTGGATTTTACGAGCCTCTATTGTTTTTTACTGGTTCCTTACTGGTTCCCACTGCTTTTTTACTGGCCTCTACCGTTTTTTACTGGTTCCTTACTGGTTCCTACTGCTTTTTTGCTGGCCTCTACTGGATTTTACTGGTTTCCACCACTTCTTACTGGCTCCTCCTGGCCCCCCCCGGCCCGTACTCACGCAGGGGGGTGCAGAGCAGCAGCAGCCCCAGGGCAACGTTGCGCAGCACCACCAGGAGCTTCTGCTGCCGCCGGTTCCGCTTCTGCTCCCGCTCCAGCTCCTCGACCCTGGCCTTGGTGAAGGCCA